GGGAAAAGTTTCACTCACTATCTATCTTGATTTCGATTCTTGAAAAGATTTTTTCTTTTTTTGATTCTTTTTTTTTCATCTTCTTTTGTTATCAGAATTTTGATAAATTTTGCTTACACGCGGTTGATTCATAAATGAAAACACTACAGCCAAAACAAAAAAACATAAAATGAAGATTATCAAAACCAAAAAAGTGAAAAATGAAAGATTTTTTCAAAAAACAAGAAGAAAAACATCAGAATGATACACTATGAAAAGAATAATGATAATAATAATGAAATTGCGAGAGAAGAAGAAAAATTCGTTCGAAATTCGAAATTCTTTTTCCATTCGNATGATACACTATGAAAAGAATAATGATAATAATAATGAAATTGCGAGAGAAGAAGAAAAATTCGTTCGAAATTCGTTCGAATTCTTTTTCCATTCGAAATGAGCATGCGTTGAAGATAAATTCGAATTTTAGTTTTCTGCAGAATGAAAAAAATTCCAAGCGCATAATCCATTCATTGAATTTGTTGATGATGTTATTATCATTCGTTTCAGTTTCAGTTTTCTTGAACATCCAAAATCGAATTTCTTCATTTTTTTCATATGTGTGTGCAGGATGCTTGCAAATAATAATAATAATAATTCTTTTGTAAATAAGTTTCCAAAAAAAAAAGAAGAAAATCTGTTGCTGCTATCAAAATTATGTGATCAAAAAAACAAGATTTTCAAGTGGAAAAAAATGAGAAAATCTTTATCGTTTATCAAATGTGATATCGAAAACATCAACAACAACAACAAAAAGGATATCCGTTTCTAGTCAAAAAATTTGAAATGTAAGTGAGCGAATGAATCGACATGATTGACATTGATAATCTCTAAACTTAATAATTCATTTAGAAATTCGTCAAAATCGAAAAAAAAACAACAATCAATATTTTTCCGATCAACGAAAGTTCGAATTTCGAATAGCCGAATTGTGTTTTTATGATTTTTGTTTTTATTCGAAAAAAAAACATTGAGTGATTACAGTTCATACATTGCAAGTAACGTGCGTTTGCATAACTTTTCTTTTTTTTTTTTTTTTTTGTTTTTTTTAAAATTTTAACCCTCCCCCCCCCTTTTTGGNTTTTCCATTCGAAATGAGCATGCGTTGAAGATAAATTCGAATTTTAGTTTTCTGCAGAATGAAAAAAATTCCAAGCGCATAATCCATTCATTGAATTTGTTTTGTTGATGATGTTATCATTCATTTTCGTTTTTTCCGTTTTCTTGATCATTTTTCTTGAACATCCAAATAGAAGAAAAATTTTTTCATTTTTTGTTCATATGTGTGTGTAGGATGTTTGTAAATAATAATAATAATTCTTTTGTAAATAAGTTTCCAAAAAGAAAAAAATCTGTTGCTATCAAAATTATGTGATCAAAACAAACAAGATTTTCGATCATTTTCAAAAGTGAACAAAAAGTGAGAAGGAAATCTTTATCAAATGTGATATCGAAAACATCAACAACAACAACAAAAAGGATATCCGATTCTAGTCAAAAATTTGAAATGTAAGTGAGCGAATGAATTGACATGATTGACATTGATAATCTCCTAACTTAATAATTCATTTAGAAATTCGTCAAAATCGAAATCAAAAAACAAAATTGTTTAGCAAATCAAAATTCGAATTCCGAATTGTGTTAATGATTTTTGTTTTTATTCGCGAAAAAAAACATTGAGTGATTGCAGTTCATACATTGCAAGTAACGTGCGTTTGCATAACTTTTCTTTTCTTTTTTTTTTTGCATTCATTGAACATTTATACCATCCGCATCCATTGTGTGGTAGAGGCATAATGATTTGAATGAAAAAAAATGGCTGACATAGGCGCAGTTTTTTTTTCCAATAATCAATGTTAATTTAATTTTTTTTTTTGTTGTTTCAATTTTCTTTATTACTCAAAACTCGTTGACCAACATCAATAACAATTGTGGACAAATTAAAATATTTGTAAGTTGTAATTTTGGAACCAAAAAACTTTTTTTACATAAGTGAAATTTACTTTTTAAAACAACAGGAACTCCCCCCACCAACAAAAGAAAAAAAAAATGTCACGAATAAAACAAGCACCAAAACATTATTCAATACAAATTACTATTCGTAAACAGAATTCAAAGATGGAAAAAAAGAAAACAAAATCATCATCATCAACAACAACAACACCGAAAAAGAATAAAACTAAATCAAAATTGTTGGAACGATCAGTTATTGATTTTGAAACAAAATCCGAATTATTAAAACAAAAACGTTATCGACCAGGTACANATATATGGTAATGGTAGATATCGTATGCAAAAATCAGCTGTTGAAGCAATACAAGAAGCATCCGAAAGTTATTTAATCAATTTATTACATGATACTAATCTTTTAGCTATACATGCTAAACGTGTAACGATAATGCCTAAAGATTTACGTTTAGCAATACGTATTCGTGGTGGTCAATGATGAATAATGTAATCCTTTCGATTTGAATGAAAATGACTGAATGGTTGACTGGAGAAATTGGAAATTTTGCACACTAAATTAATATTATTGATTTTTTTTTTTTGAAAATTTATTCAAATTTTTTGCACTTTTTATTCAAAATTTTTCTTTTTTTTTGTAACTTTAAAAGTCTAAATAAATAAATAAATAAAAGATTTTTCCAGCTATTTTCCAATACTCATCAATTTGATTTGTTGGGTAATCCAGGTAACAACAGGTTGCTGTGTCAACCGTTATAATGATGATAAAAGTTATTATTTTTTTTGCTGATTTCTTTATTGATTTCAATCAATCAATCAATCAATCGACCAATCAATCAATCAAAACACAGAAAGGAATATACAGAATTTCATCAAAAAAAATGAATTTCCCCAATCAATTTTCATCGATTACTTTCCAAAAATTGTGTAATATGGTGGATTTTTACCTGCAAAAAAAATTTTTTTCAGGTAAAAAAATCATTATTTTTTGCTTGTTTGTTTGCTGCCAAACAATCAAATCCATAATCATCATCATCATCATCATATCTACACATAATGAACAAATTGATGAACAAAAGTAACTGGCAAGTGCAAAAAAAATGAAATCCTGATAACAAAACAACTTGTTTGACGACTGGAAAATTTTATCTGTTTTTCCTTTCGTTTCTTTCGTTCGTTTTTCTTTATTCATTCATTTTTGTGTTTACCCAATTATTTTGACTTGATGCCATTATTGGCTTGTTGAAACAAGTTTGAGCAAAAAGAGAAAACAATGACCGAATTCCATTTGTGACACATATGATTTCTTTCTTTTGAAAGAAAATCCATTGTGTTTTTCTTTCAGACGAAAGTAGAAGGTAGAAGGGAGAAGAGAGAGAATCTTTTTTAACTGATGGATTTTTCATTTTGAAAATGAACAAAGATTATAACAATCTTAAGTTACCTTATTCGGTGCTAAATTTAGTTTGTTTTTTTTTTGTTTTTTTGGATTTTTGATTGTGTTTTGGGTAATAAGAGAAAATGAAAAATGAAAAAAAAAAGAGTAAAATCCATCCAATAAAGCACAATAGACATTCGGACATTCGGTTATTCAAATTTTCAAAGAGAGAAAGCAAAAAAATAACACATTGTTTCCATCGGGTTATCACCCGGGTATATTTCTATACAACAAAAGAAACGTTTTTGTTGTTGTTTTCCTTATATGTGGTCACACAAAAAAAAGAAAAGCCAGCAAAACAAAACTTCCAAAATCACTGTTTGTGTGTTCATTCGCTGAAAAGTGTTTTCTCTCTCTCTCTTACTTTCCCTCTGGGTATTTTGAATCGATAGTGGTTTTTGGAGAAGATCAGAAAAAAGATGGTAATCATCATATGAACAAACGACGACGACGACGACCAACAACTAAATGAATGACTGTAAATCAATGATTAGAAATTCAAATTACAATTACATTGTTATTCGATTGATTTTTCTTTTCAATCATCATCAATAATCATTATTTTGAACATTAATTTTGTTGGTGGTCATTTCTCGTTTTTTAATTTAAATTTTTTAAATTACCATTTTGATGTTGTTGTTGTTGTTAGCTCGGTGCAGAAGATAAATTTCATTTTTTTCTCTCTTTCATTCACAATCTCTCAATTATCATTTTGTCATAATTTTTTTTATTTTCAAAATCGACCCTTCAATGTAAGGGTAGTGTTAATTTTAATTATCATCTTTTTTTAACACACAAAAAAAGCTTCACATTTTTTATTTATAAGATTTGTTTTCGTTGTTTTGTTGTTGTCGATGTTTATCATCATCATCATTATTATCATAAACAAGATTCATTAAAGTCATGGTCAAACACTGTGTGTGTGTGTGTTTGGTGATTAACGATTTGATTGATTGAATGAAAATCATTATAATAATTTACTATCCACGTTTTCAAATTGTCTGTTTGTTTGTGTTGTTCGTTTGTTTGTGTGTGTTTGATTTTCGTGTTTCAAAGCGTCATTTTTGTTTTCTGTTTGTTTGTTTGAAATTCATTATCAGATGATGATTGAAATATTTTCAAGTTAGTTTTTCCAACCAAAAATTCAATTGATTCAAACCGAAAAAAATGACTACTGTAATGTCAAAATTACGTGATCTATCCGAACGTATTGGCGTACCATATCCACAATTAACACGTACAATATCCGGTGCATTAGTTATTTTATATGCAGCAAAAATATCCTATCCGTTGATTGAAAATTATCTGACCAACAGCAATAATGATAAACAGCAAACGAAAAAATCATTAATTTTACAAAATGGAAAAATTGATCATTCAATATCGATCGACAATACAACAACAACATCGATTGAAATACTTTCATCATCATCCGAAGAAGATGATGAGGATGATACGAATAATAATAATAATTTTGCTAACGGTGCTTGTGTGAAAAGATATTCAAATCATAATCAACAACAAAATGATCATCTAGTACGATTAGTATCAGGAAAATCAGGAAAATCCATTCAAGAACGTTATCTAAATTTTGGTCCACAACGTACAAATAAATTAATGAATAAATTAGAAGAATTATTTGTACGATTAATGATTGAAATTCGACAATTAACCGGTATTAATGTTGATTTTGTAATACAATTAATAAAATTATTACGTATTATGGTACCGAAAATTGCATCATTTGAAGTTATCATATTGATTTTACATACAACATCATTAATATCTCGTACATTTTTATCCATTTATGTTGCAAATCTTGAAGGTAGTGTTGTTAAACATATTGTTAAACGTGATTTACAACAATTCACACAATCAATGACAAAATGGTTATTAATATCAGTACCGGCTACATTTTTAAATTCATTAATCCGTTATTTAGAATCCAAATTATCATTATCATTTCGTTCACGTTTAGTTAATTATGCATATGGTTTATATTTTAATAATGAAACTTATTATACTGTTTCAAATTTGGATGGACGTTTAGAAAATGTTGATCATTCATTAACCGATGATATTACTGTATTTGCTCAACATTGTGCACATATGTATTCACATGTTACCAAACCAATGTTAGATGTTGCTGTTGTATTATATACATTATTTCGTATGGGTAGAAAAATGGGATCGAATGGTATGCATGGACCAATACTTGGTACATCTATAGTATTCTGTACACATCTGATATTACGACGTTGTTCACCACAATTCGGTAAACTTGTTTCCGAAGAATCACAACGTAAAGGTTATTTACGTTTTATACATTCACGTATTATTGCTAATGCTGAAGAAATTGCATTTTATCGTGGTGGCCATGTTGAACGTACTGTATTAGATCGTTCATATCGTTCATTAATTAGACAAATGAATTTAATATTTCAACAAAGATTATGGTATGTTATGTTGGAACAATTATTAATGAAATATCTTTGGTCAGCAACCGGTATGGTTGTTATTGCTGCACCAATTATGCTTACACAAATGAATGCTATTGATAATAAACATTCAAATAAACATGATTATCAAAATGGTGAAGATATTTCTAATCGTACTGAATATATGATGACGGCTAAAAATATTTTAATTTCTGGTTCCGATGCTATGGAACGTTTATTATCATCATATAAAGAGGTATGTTGTTATTATTCAGGTTTGAATCGATCATATTTTTCATATTTTCAATTTTCATATTTTCATTCATTATTCACAAATTAGCTAACCGAATTAGTTGGCTATACAAATCGTGTTTCGAAAATGTTAACCATTTTCGAAGAAGTTGGCCACGGTCATTTTAAACGTGATTCACATGCAAATAAATCAATTTCAATGATAAATAATAAATCAATGATTATGTATGATAAATATGGTTCACCAATAATAAGGGGGAATGTGATTATTGTTCATGATTATATACAATTGATTGATGTACCAATTATAACTCCAAATTGTGATATTGTTGTTCCTAGTTTAACAATCAAGGTAATTGATAAATTGTAAAATTTTGGATAATTTTTTATTTAAAAATTATAAAATTCTTCTTTATTTTTCAGATAACATTTCAAATGCATCTTTTGATTACCGGTCCAAATGGTTGTGGAAAAAGTTCATTATTTCGTATAATGGCCGGTTTATGGCCAGTATTTAGTGGTCGTTTAGAACGACCACAAACAAAAGAAATGTTTTATATACCACAACGTCCATATATGTCATTGGGTACATTACGTGAACAGTTAATATATCCGGATACAATAAAATCAATGAATGATAAAGGAATACGTGATGATGATCTTGAATCAATATTGGATAATGTACATCTTCGTTATATTGTCACTCGGGAAGGTGGTTGGGATGCTAAAGGTGATTGGAAAGATATATTAAGCGGTGGTGAAAAACAACGAATGGGTATGGCTAGATTATTTTATCATCGGTAAGATTTATTCATTTATCGACATAATTTAACCATTAATCAATCCTTTTTTCGGTTTTGTCCCCCCTGAAAAACTCTAGACCAAAATTTGCATTACTTGATGAATGTACATCGGCCGTTTCGATCGATGTTGAAGCCGAAATGTATGAAACAGCAAAACAATTAGGTATTACATTGATTACAATAACACATCGACCATCATTATGGAAATTTCATACACATTTATTACAATTTGATGGACAAGGTGGTTGGAATTTTGAATCATTATTAGATCATAATAATGATCATCGTTTATCATTATTACATGATGAAAAACAATCCATAGAACAATCATTATCAAATGTTGTACAAATGCAATAACGTTTGTTAGGTGAAGAATCTACTACTAATATTGTTTTCTCAGGTGATCAAACAACAAATCAATGGATTGAATTGATTTTATGATCAAAATCAAATGGTTAATCCAAAAAGCCAATATAATTTAATACTGAATAAATAATTTTTTTTTCATTCAAAAATTACATTTATTAATAAGATTGATATTTATCATTGAAAATATTGATATATATTTTTGTACTTATGATAAAGCAAACAAACAAACAAACAAACAAAATGTTCAAGAAAATTAATTCCGGCCGCAAAATTTTAAGAAGCTGTTGAACTTATTTGATTTGAATTTGTTGTTGTTGTTGTTTTTGTTTTTGTTGACATAAAAATATTATCAATTTCCGAATCGATCGATAAATTTGGCATATTATCATTATTTGAATCATTTTCATTTAAAATATTTAGATAACGTGCACGAGCTATTTCACTTTCTTCTTCTAATCCTAATTGATAGGATAGATTTTGTATTTCTCTTACTTTATCCAATAATGCTGATGATGTTAATGAACCATAACCATAAAGCATTGATATTTCTTCATCATTAAAACCTTTTTGCCATTCAGGTTTATTATCATTGTTGTTGGTGTTGTTGTTTAAATTATTTGATGATTTTATATTCGTTTTATTATTATTAGTCGAATTGGTTAAAATACTTTCAGTTGGACTAGTAGCACGAGAATCACTATCATCATCAATATCTTCATTTTCATTTGCCAATTCCAAACCATATGGTGTTAGGGCAAATGATTTGATTATTTTATTTCGTCCATCAAATTGATTATCACTATTTGTAAAATTAAAATTTGTTTTATTATAACGTAGATTATTATCGCCAAAATTCTGTAATGACGAATCATCATCATCTTCTTCATCATCATCATATTCATCATCGTCATCGAAAATTTCACTTTTCACTATAGACGATAGATTTATTAATGTTGGATTACGAGTTCCGCTATTGTTACTGATATCCAATTTTCCACCATTTTTTTGAGGTGAATCATCCGATAGGTCATAATCATCATCATCACTTGTATATGGTGATGTATTGGCCAAAAATTTAACAACACCTGGAACTAAAGATGTAAACGAAAAAGAATTAAAATTTGAAAAATAAATTTTAAAAAAAATTTCTTACCTGATTCAGGCCAAAGTTCCGGTGATGATCTATCCAATGTTTCATCAGTAAATAATTTTTCATGACGATTTTTCTTTTTTCTTTTTCCATTTTGTTTTTCTTCAATTGATTTTATTTCGGCATCATCATCATCATCAGCATTTTCATTATCAACAATGTAATCAACATTCATTTTTTGAGGGTCAGTAACAACATTTTTCAATTGATTAATGTTAAAATTATGATTACTTGGTATTAAATTCAAATTAATCATTGGTTTGGATTTAGATTGTTGATTTTGTTGGCCATCAATACAAGGTGTAGTTACAAATAAATTATTAGTATTTAAAATGACTGGCGTTGTTGATATTGAAGTATTATTTGATGCCTGTTGAATTGTATTGGTTTTCGTTTTTCCTGTCGATAAATGTATTGTTGATTTATTTGTTGAATTATTATTATTATTATTTGCATGATTAATTGTTATTGAAGATGATGGTGATTGATTTCGATGTGTTAAATTTTGTGAAACAAAATTTAAATGTTGATGATGCGGATGTGCACGATTATTATTGCCAGAATTATTGCCAGATAAATTGGCCGGTGTAACAATCGGTGTTAACATTTGTACAGCTTGTGGCTGTTGTTTGATATTGTTGTTGTTAGTAGCCATTACATTTGCCGGTATTGTTAAAGCATTTGATACTGAAGCAGTAACTGTCGGTACTGTTGCAATCTGATGAATTTGATTACTTATCGGCTGATTCGATACAGGATTCATTTTGATATTAGCAATTATACTGGTTGCTGTTGTTGAATTGCCAAACGTGGAAATATTTGGAGTGACCAATGTTCCTGGAGTAGTTGTCGCTGAACTCGTAGCCAATACCATACTTGGACGTAATTGAACCGATTGTCCAGTGTGTGAAGCTGTTAATATTTGAGCACCAGTAGCCGTTCCAGTAGCATTTCCTGTGCCTGTCAATGTTGGTGTTGTTGTCAGAATCATAATCTTTCCTTTATTGACAATTGTATTATGATTGGTAGCAATAAGATTGGACATTTGTCCATTATTAGTCAATATATTTGTACTACCAGCCGGAACAAGTATAAAATTATTCAAATTAAAACGTGGCCTAGCTGCTTGAATAGATGTTGGTGTTGCCGAAACTGTTCCTTGAACTTTAAAATAAAATAAAATCGAAAATTATTATTAACAACATTAACAAATCAAATAGGCTAACTTACCAGGAGTAGTTTGGCTTGGTTGTAATTTCGTATGATCCATTTATCAATATCTTGATATTTCTGGTCGAATATTTCGAAATATGGAACCAAAAATTTCAATATTTTTAATTTTTCAAACCAAAAAGAAAAAATTCCCAGAAAATTTAAATTGAAAAACAAAAATATCCTTGAATTTGATGAAAGCTGAATTCAAATATTTTGTTTGTATGATAATATTTGATATTTTTGCACGAAAAAAAAGCGCTCCATTCGAACGCGTATATATTGAAAAAATATATGATATTAGAGGAGAAGCACATAAATACACACACACACACAGCATATCATATATTGCCAATAATACACACCTACATGTGGTAGTAGTATAGATTATAGAACAAAATGACAAATGATTGTAGCGCCGCTTGAAAATCATCATTTTTCGGGAAATTTTCTCAAAAAAACGAAATTTCTTTTTTTTCCAAATAAAATTTCTTTCAAAATTTAAAAAAAAATTCGCTTAAATCGATTCAAAAAAATATCATAATCAGTTTTCTTTTGATCAGCGGACAATTTTGTTGAAAGAAAAATCAACATCGAAAACTCGAGCTTTTTTTTTGTTTTGGTTTTGCAAAACCCGAAATAAGTTTTTTCTTTTCAAATTTTTTTTTCAATCATTTTCTAAATCTAATGAATTTAGTTACAAAAATTTACAAAATTCATTACAAAATTAGATGAAAATTTAAATAATAATTTTAATTTCAAATAAAGATCGATTAATCGATGATCGATGGTATCGCGATGATGTTTTTTTTTATTCAATTTAAAGCCGACTATTCCGACACTTCCTGTATTAACATCGATTTCGATGTCTGTCTGCATCATCATTGATGATGATGTTGTTTTTGTTTTGTTGATGATGAGGACGCCACTATCCATGCTACCGAAGCAATATACTTTCTAATTGTTGTGCTGCCACCTTAAAGTTTCCTTTTTGTTCAATGATTTATGCCACTTCTTAAATCATCATCTTTTATGAGAGAGAGTGTGGTAGCATTCTCATTCATTGAAATGGTCCAACGTGTCTTGCGGTCTAAAAAAGAATTTTTTTTTATTTAATTTTTTTTTTCAATATTTTTTTGTTTGGTTAATGCGTTTAATGTTTTAACATTTTCTGGTTTGTTTTGTATGATATATTAATCAGAGGTGAGTCAGGTTTGAAATTTTTTGATTTTGTAAAAGTTTTTTTTATAAAATTTTTGCTTCATTTTATTTCGTTCGATATAGTTTTAATAATAATTTTGCTTGAAACGATTATCGAATTTGATTCGAACGCAAAAAAATCAAAATGCCTGCTCATTTTATCCATCTGGAAAATGCACTTAAACGTGCAAATGGTTCGTAATTAAGTAACATTTTTTATCCATTTCCTTTATTAATTTTTGTTTATCATTTGTAGAATTTATCGAAGTACAAAATAAACATCGAGCATTGGAAATTTTATGCGATGTATTACATAGTAAAAAACATCGTGTTTGGCAGAAAAAACATGAAGAAATAATGATGAAATATTTGGAATTATGTGTAGAATTGAAACAAAGTTATGTTGCCAAAGAAGGATTATTTCAATATAAAATTATTTGTCAACAAAGTTATATTAGTTCGTTTGAAGAAGTGATTCGAAAATATATACAAATGGCTGAAAAGAAAACGAATGAAGCAAAAGAACAATCACAGGCTAATATATCGGAAATTGATGATCTGGAAAATGCACAAACACCTGAAGATATTCTTATGTCTGCTGTTAGTGTTGAAGGTTCACAAGATCGTAAAGATCGTGTTGTATTGATACCATGGGTAAAATTTCTATGGGAATCATACAGGCAATGTTTGGATATGTTAAAAAATAATAGTAAAACTGAACGTTTGTATCATGATATTGCACATCAGGCATTTGTTTTCTGTATCAAATATAATCGAAAAACTGAATTTCGTAAATTATGCGATAATCTTCATATGCATTTGGATCAATTGAAACGACAACAACTTCAAACACCGCAACAACAAAATGCTATTAATTTAAGTTCACCTGAATCGCAAGCAATGCAATTGGAAACCCGATTACGACAATTGGATAATGCTATACAATTAGAATTATGGCAAGAAGCATATAAAGCTGCTGATGATATACGAAAATTTAATCTTATGAATTTGACTAAAAAAGGATTGGGAAAACCACAATTAATTGCTAGTTATTATCAAAAATTAGCATTAGTTTTTTGGAAAGCTAATTCAAATCTTTTTCATGCAACAGCTTTGTTTCGTTTATTTCATTTATCGAAAGAATTACGTAAAAATATAACAGCTGATGATATACAAAAAATGGCTTCACGTTTAGTATTGGCAACACTTTCGATTCCAATTCCACCTATTCGTCCGGAAATTGATAAATTAGTTGATACTGAAGAAAATGTTATTGAACAACATCATCGTAATTTATCATCATTGTTGGGTATTAGTTCAAAACCACCAACAAGATTTTCATTGGTTAAAGATTTGAAACGTATGGGTGTTTTACAATTTGCTTCACAACCAATACAAGATCTATTTCAATTATTGGAAATTGAATTCAATCCATTAGGTATTTGTGGTCGTGTACAACAGATTATCGATTATATTGAACGTTCAACTGCAGATCCGGAAAAATCTACTGAATATCCAGAATTAAAACAATATATATGGGCATTGAAAGAAGTAACTGTTATTCGTTTGATTCGTGAAATTGCACAAGTTTATCGTTCAATTGAATTTAAACGTTTGGCTGAATTATGTCAATTTGTTGATCCAATTTATTTGGAAAAATTAGTTGTTGAATCGGCTCGTCGTCATGATCTTCAAGTACGTATTGATCATCGTCGTGGTTGTTATGTTTTCGGTACTGAACTTCGTGTTTCGACTGGTGAAGAATATATTGAAGGTCCATATTTACAATCGATGCCTAATGAACAAATGCGTCGTCAATTAGTATCAATGTATTCATCATTACAAAAAGCAATTCATTTAATCGAACCTGATACTATTAAACAACAACGTGAAGATTTAAAACGACAAATAATGAAACAATATCATTTACGTGCTAATGAAGAACATCGTTTAATTTTAAATCGTCAAAATCTTATTGAACAACGTCGTGAAATAATGGAACAAATGGGTATACGACGTGAAAATGAAGAACGTAAACGTATGGAAGAAGAAGAGGCTAAAATACGTGAAGCAGAAATGCAACGTTTGCTTGAAGAAACAAAAGAACGTGAACGTTTGAAACGTGAAAAAGATGAAAAAGAAATTCGTAAACAAATTACTAGAGATGAATTGAAAAAAGTAATGCCGGATTTTGAACTAGATAATTTGGATGATGATGAATTGGCTAAATTACGACCACAAGATTTACATCAAAAACGTGTTGAACAATTGGAAAAAGAACGACGTGAACAATTGGCTAAACAACGAAAATTGGAACGTAAAGTTGATCATTTTGAACGTGCCAAACGATTGGAAGAGATTCCATTATTAAAACAACAATATGAAGAATGGCGTGTTCAAGATCAAGAATTATGGGCAAAAGCACAAGAATTGAAAATTATTGCCATGAAAGAGGAACGGGAATTAACATTGAAAGAACGTGAACGTTTTGCACGAGTATTGGATGATAAGAAAGAATTTGAAACAGGTGTTCTTGAAAGTCGTCGTGAAGAATATGAAGAAAAGTTAAGAAATTTTGATCGAATCGTTGAAGAAGAAAGAAAAAAACGTTTAGAAGCACGTCGTCAAAAACGAATCGAAGAACGTCGTGTTGCCTATATGAAAGAAAAACAGGAAAAACATTTGGCTAAAGTTGCTGAAATTCAAAAACGTCGAATGGCCGAAATTGAAGAAAAACTTCGTCAACATTTAGCCCAACCGGCTGGTGGTGAAAATGAAAGTGGTAATGAAAATCGAATGCCATTAGCTAGGCCAGCTGTTGTTGGTGCTGCCAAACAATCAGAAGATTCTTCTGATGCATCAAGAGATTGGCGAATTAATCGTCCTATTGAACGTAAAGAACCGCCTGCACCGGCATTTCAATCCAAAGTTCCATCGAATGCTGCTGCTATTGGTGATCGTAATCGTGAACGTGAGCGTGAACCGATGTCGAATAGAGGTCCAAATCGTCCATTTCGGCAACCAGCACCACAATCAGTGGCTGATTCAGCTGATGATTGGCGTTCAGGTGATAAGAAAGTCATTCAGCCTCCTCCATTGCGTGAAAGTCGTCCGACTTATGGTGGTCGATTTTCGGAAGGTCGTCAACGACCAGAATCACGCGAAGGTCAAGAATCACGCGGTGGACCTTCTCAAAATCGGCCATATAGTGGTCGAGATTCAGATTCAAGTCTTCGTCGAACTGGTGAACGTCGCGAAGGTGGAGGACGTGGAGGATTTCAACGTACAATGCAACGTCAACAACAATCATCAAATCAAGATGATATTGGTAATTGGCGACAAAAACCACCAATGGATTCAGAACATTCTGGAGCAGCTGCCGATGAAGATGGTGAAGGTGGTTGGATGAAAGTTGATCATGGCCGTGGTAGAGCTGCTGGTGGTGGTGGTGGTGGCGATCGACGTATGCCTGATAATCGTAATCGTTATGCTGGACGTGGTTCACGTGAAGGTGGTCTTCGTGGTGATCATGGTGATGAATCACGTGGTCCGGGTATGTCATCAAGAGCTCCACCACCATTACCACAACGTCGTTAATCAATATCAGATGATGATTATGGTCGAATTTAACAAACAAACAAACATCATTGAATTCTTTCTTTTTTTCTCAATACATTCGCTTTAGGCTTTTATTTTTTAAATGAAAAAAAATTATTACTATTATTATAATGAGAAAAAAGAAAATCAATGATGATATACACATTGTTTTTTTCATAAGCATTTTTTTTTGTAATCCAAGAAATAAGGTGTTGAATGAAGTTATTTCTTTTTGATTTCCTGAAAACAAACAAACAATCTCTATTATTTTTCATTAAATATTATTTGTCAAAAAAAAACTTGTTTAATAATGATAATAATAATAACTGTCAATGATTTATTCATCCGGAATAGTTTAATAAAATCATAATTTTCTTCTTTTTTAAATAAAAAAAAATTATTATTACCAATCTGCGATGATTTTGTTTGTTTGTTTGTATAATAGGGGTTTCACACTACAGCAATGTAAATGCAATGCAATATTTCAATCCATTTCAACCTTATGGGCTGAAATATTTTGGTGTATATATTTCATGAAATATTGCTGTAGTGTGAATCCCCTATAAAAAAAATACACATTTGGTTTTATAATTCGGTTTGTTTGTTTCGATCCTATATCCATGTATTTGGATTCGGTTGTTTTGATCTTGGTATTATGCCTTTACATCGTAATTTTCGTACAGCTTCACGAATATGTTTCGGATGTAATGGTCCTGATTCACCATTTTGTTCCATACAATCTAATGCTTCTTCAACAATTTCACCAACAAATACTTTAGCTATACCTGATACAGCAATAACAACATTTTGTGAAACTGAACATCCAGTTATCTGTTGTACGAGCTAAAATCCCAAAAAAAAACAAAACAAAAATGTAGCAAAAGACAAAAAGAATTTCAAATGAGATATTTACTCGTTTGATAGCTGCTTTTGGAAATGCAGCACGACGATACATTTCATAGCGATTTAATTGTTCCTCGGAAAAGTTAGAAACCAACACCCTTTTTTTGGTGATTAGAAATAATTGATAAGAATTGATAAATTGCAACAACAAAAAACAAACATACTGCATTCTTTCTCGTTCTTCTTCTTGTAATTTTTCTTTCAATTGTTTTTGTTCTTGTTTGGATAATGTTGTTGGATCAATATCGGTTAATATTGTACCATTTTTCGGTAATAATGTTAAACCAGTTTTATATTCTAATGAATCTAATTTATCGCATAATAAACGATTATTATCATCATCCATTGATTCATCATCAAAATGATCGGATTGTAAATTTTTCATCATTTCATCATGATCATCATCCATAGATGAATTATCACCATCATCACCATTATTATCATCATTATCATCATCATCACCAGTATGATCTTCTTTATCATCTTGATCATTTTCTTTGTTTAATGATGATGATGATGATGATGGTTTTGATGTATGAATAACATCTGGAAATTGAATCGAAAGAATTGGTTCGTCAAAATCGTCATTTGTCTTGTCTTTTCTTTTATCATCATTTTCAAGTTTTATTATTTTCGTTTCATTTACAGATTTTCTATCTTCTTTGGTTATTTCTTCGGTTGGTTCTTTCGTTTCTTTTATGTTATTATCGGTCACAATATCTTTTATCGGTTCAGAATCATCTTGTTTGGATTCTATTTGTTGATGACAACTTAATTCTTTTACAATATCATCAATAATATCCAATGATTCGATAATTTCTTCATTATTTTTTGATATCTTAATATCATCATTTTGATCATCATATTCCATCGGAAAACAATTAACCGCCAAAAATCAAATTCGATTTTAATTTGAAAATTGGCAACAAAAAAAATAAGATCAAAATAATAGTGCGGCAATTTTAACTCATAAATAAACAAAATGAACCGATTGAGTGAAAATTGAAATTTTTTTATATCATGTGTTCGATTTTGTATTCATTTTGTACAATTTTAAATTTTAAATTTATAATTTTTTTTTCTTTGGTATTAATCAACGCATAATAAACATCAATCTTTTTTTTAAATGGATAAATATGAAATAAAATTAGAAAAAACATTATCCGGCCATATTGAACGTATTTGGTGTGTACGTTGGCATCCAAATGGACGTTGGTTAGCTTCATGTGGTGCTGATCGTACGATTAAAATTTGGTCAAAAGAAGGTGATGAATGGAAATGTCTTTCAACATTAAATGATGGCCATCAACGTACGATTCGTTTTATTGCATGGTCACATGATGGTCGATTTCTAGCATCGGCCAGTTTTGATGGTACCACTTGTATTTGGCATCAAAAAACAAATGAAAATGGTGATGATGATAATAATGAACCAATGGAATGGACAGTAATGGTTTCACTTGAAGGTCATGAAAATGAAGTTAAAGGAGTTGCATGGTCACCTGATGATACATTTCTGGCTACATGTTCACGTGATAAATCTGTTTGGATATGGGAAAAAATTGAAGTTGGTCGTGAAGCTGATTGTGATTTAAATGATCGTCCAAATGAAGAAGCATTTTTTGAATGTTCATCCGTACAAACTGAACATAGTCAAGATGTTAAATGTGTTGTATGGCATCCAAAATTAAATATTTTATCATCAAGTAGTTTTGATAATCAAATTAATCTTTATTGTCAAAATGATGATGATTGGAATTGTTATACACAATTAAATCAACATGAATCGACTGTATGGTCAGTTGCATTCAATCCGGAAGGTACACGTATCGTAAGCGTTAGTGCTGATGAATCGATAAAAATATGGCAACCAAAAAATTATAACGATTTAATTGATGAACCAAAATTAACTGCTAAACGTTATTCTGAACTAACAATTAAATGGACCATAATAGCATCATTAAGTGGTTATCATCATTGGCCAATATATGATGTTCATTGGTCATCGGTTGAAAATTTAATATTAACTGCCGGTGCTGATAATTCATTACGTGTATTTAAACAATTCCAAAATGACCAAAATGATCCATATTCATCGGTTAGATTTCGACAAATTCAATTCAAATCTGAAGCACATGAACAAGATATTAATTCTATTCATTGGAATCCATTAATGAAAAATAATCAATTATTATTTGCTTCTGGTTCGGATGATGGACTTGTTCAATTATGGTTGTTCGAACAACAACAACAACAACAACAAGAATAATTATCTTGTACAGATTTTTGATATTTTTATATAGAAAAAAGAATAATAATTTTATAATAAATGTTGAAATTAAAAATTTTTTTAATTATCCATGAACATTGCATTTAATATATCAACAATTTTGATTATTTTTATGCTTAATAAACATGAACCATTCCGTAAAGAAAAGTCCAGAATAAAACATAGGTAGTTAAGCCACCCATAAAACCATTTGTTAATACATGCCACGGTGATGTAAAATATCGTTGATAATTTGGACCGGCTTTCGACATAATCATAAACCAAAGTATAATAACCATTAATATATAAAATGCAAATCCATATAATGAAGTTAAACCAATAATACCGGCAGTTGAACCGGCCAATGCAGACATCGATGTACGACAATATTCAATCAAATGATTATTATGTGTAATAGCAAATGATGAATAAGCTATTGGTGGACTAGTAATGACATTATTGTTAACAATATTTGAATTTTCTGTTGGATTTTGTAAAGTTGATGATGATGATGATGATGACAATGAATTTGGTGTTGAAGGACGAAGTTTGGAATTTGAAGGTTTAATCTAAAAAAGAAAATGAAATAAGAATAGGGAAAGAAATAAAACTTTATCATCAAATTACCATCTTGGAATATTTCGAATGTTTTTTTTTTTTTTGAAATAAAAAAGCCGAGATCAAAATGCAACAAAAATAAAAAACTCAAAATCAACAACAGATTGACCAGCCGTAAAGGACGTAATCAAAAAAAAATCTATTTATCAAAATGGCGTAATGAAATAGGCATGTTTTTATCATCATAAAAATAATCAGATTTTTTTTTCCTTGAAAAATTCATGATTCGAAAAAAAACCAGAATTCCTAAATTTCAGAAATTGAATTGAAAAAAAATCATAGGTCTAAGGTCCCACCGGGATTCGAACCCAGATTGCCAGATTGCTTTCAAGGTTAAGCAAGAATTTATTCGAAATGAATAAACATCAAAATGTAAATAATCAGAGTCTGGAGTGATAGCCATTACACCATGGAACCTTAAATATGTTAAAATTCTACTCGAAAATTAATGTTGAACAAATATAATTAATTTTATTTAAATAATGATAACCAAATGAAAAAAGAATTTGATAATTAATTTGTAATTAATTCTTACGTAAACGATATCTACTATGAGCAGTTATAGCGCTAAAAATACTGGATGGTGGTTTTCGATCAAAGAATATATTTTCATCAATACAATGTTCATGACCGGGTAATGGTGTTGAATTGGAAATTTTATTACCATAATCATATCGGGATTTTCGAATCGATGTACCATATTGTATATTATTATTATTATTGGATGGAATTTTCGGTGTTACAAATTCGAACAAATCAATCGGATGTTGCTTTTGTATTTTGATTGGCAGATTTTTTAGAGATCTTGCTATCTGAATTGATTGTTGTTGTTGTCGTCGACGTTGTTGTTGTTGTTGTTCATAATATTGAATTCGATTTTTCAATTGATCAATATACTTGGTTTTTTCATTCTCAATTTTTCGTAATTGAATAGCCGATTCATTCGAATGCGAATAATGATATTTAAATTTTTCTAATAAAAAATGTTCAAAACGTTTAAAACGTTGTATTTGAAATGGATAAATTTTTTGTTGAATATCAATAGAATGTTTACTATCGATAGTAAAATATATTCGAATCGATTCTTTCAATTCATTGCTCATTCTTATTCGTCTGCAATGTTCTTGTCGACATTTTGGACAGAGAAATTCTGATGATAAATGACAATTATTACAAAGGATATTTTTACATGATGTAAGAAAATAGGTTAATTGATTTTTTGTTTCCGGTACTGATTTATAACAGATATCACAAAATATTAGAAAAGAATCCATTATCGTTATCGGATATGACAAGAACCGAAAAACCAAAAAAACAAAAAAAAAATCGCAAGAATTCGAATCAATATGTTTAGCTGTTTCGATCCAACAAACACAAAGGTTGAAAATAGTCGATTTTGATTTAAAAAAATATTTTTATCAAAACAAACAAAAAATTAATAAAATATTTTATTTAACAAATTAAAATTATCTAATTTTCACAAAATGTTGTTGTGTATACATCGATATATATTTTGAAGTGTTTTTTTTTGGGTTAGGCAAACAATTATAATTAGTTAGATAATCCGCTTAAAATAATACTTTAATCACATTTTTTAAAAAAATAAATTAAAAACTTATTTTTTTAATTTATTATCATCATCATTATTTGTTGTGTGCGTTGTATTTGCTGTAGTTACCATATCTTCATCATGTTGTGGTGGTTTAATTAATTTACAATCAATCATAAATGTAGCCAACATTGGCAAACGCCATTTACCTTTTTGTTTAGGTTTTGGCATACCGAATAATATAAATTTAAATGTACCAACTCTAGGTGGATTTATTGTAAATATTATTTTCAAACCATTATCATCACGTAAAATAATATTTCTGGTATCCATTTCCATTGAATCCGAATCATATAATGAATATGTAATTAACATTGTTTCATTTGATTCTAATATTAATCTTCGACGACCACCCCATGTAACAATAATTGGTCCTTTTTGATTAACCAAACGAAGTTTATAATCATAAAATTTTTGTGTTAAACCCCATGGTAATTCATTTAATGGAAATGGTTCTAAATATTTTCTTGCTTTTGTACATTCTAATAATATTGTTATTATTGGATTTAATGGTATTGATAAATCCTGTTGGCTACCTTGCATTTCACGTTCCGGTTTGGCAAATATCTAAATGAAAAAAAAAATTATGAAATTTTCAATGTAAAACAAGACAAAAAAAATCTTCTTACTTTAAGTAAAAATCTTCCAGATAAAGGTGGCTGTACCATAAACGAACCGACTAAACGATCTTCTTTTAATTGACAAAAAACATAATAATTTAATGATGAATTTTCCTGTTCATCAGCTGAATATAATTTATATTTATAACGCATTGGTTCATGGCTACCTATTTTCACTTCAGTCGATATACGAAATTCTAATGGATTCTGTATTTTTGTTCGTATCATAAGATTATATTCGAAAAATAATTCCGTTACTTTTGGTCGGGCATTAAATTCATCCAATGTTATTGATTTATCCAATAGTTGCCATCTGAAAAAACAAAACAAAACAAAACAAATAAAAGAAATTAAAAGAATTAATCAAATCCAAATACCGATCATAATTTTCTTCCATTTCGTTATATGGAAAATGTGTCCAAATCATAACACTCGGGTCGGTTAGAAAATAATGTTCATTAAATTTTGAATGAAATTCTCCTTGAGCATCAATATAACCAGCTGCTAATGTTAAATCAATAAATCTCCATGAATTTAAAACGAATACAGCCGTCCATGATTGAATGGAATCTTTTCCTTGTTTTGGATTGGAAAAAAATTGAATTGAAAACTTTGATTTGAAAACTTAAAAATTTTTACCTGGTTCAAAATGATAACCAGGACGATAATGATAATCACGTACAAAACCATCAATACGTTTTACACGTATACCAATCAAACGACAACAATCGATAAAAAGTCTACAATAATCTTTACTTGTACCTTGTTTTTGTTCAAGTATTTCAACCGATCGGAGATTTTTATCCAACAAATCTAAATTATAACGAATATTTCGAGTAATCCATATGAATAATGCACGTATTTTAAATAAATCATTTTTAGCAAATTTACAAATATATTGTATCAAATCTTGTGTTTGTTGAAAATCTGGTAACATTTCTTCTTCATCTAACATTTTTTGATCAATATCTTTAAACATTAATGATGTTGGTATCATTTCTTGTTTTGAACATAATGGTGAACGTGCAGCATATTCAGGTGATTCATCTGTTAAAATATCATTGGTTGTTTGTAGTGAAACATCACGTTTTTTTACAATATTATCCATCGTAACATTCGATGATTGATTAAATTGTTCCAATGTTTTTTTCTTTCGTATATCATCCAATAAAATGAATATACAATCCTGAACTTTTTGTTTTTTCATTAAATGTTTACTTTTTGAATACCATAATGTTTCGTTGGGATTTTTTCGTTGATTTGTCGATGGTAATTTTGATTTTGAAACATCATCAAATTTGGACAATGTTTTTGTTACAGTATCGATCATTTCTTCGTTTGTTTTGTTATCCAAATCCAAATCATCATCAACATCTAATGTTGATAATAATTTTTTTAAATTTTGTTGATCATCATCATCATCATTATCTGGATTGTTTAAATCCGTTGATTTACAATCAACAATTGCTTTGGTAAGATTTTCACTTAAACGTAATAATTTCTGTTGATCAGTTAATGGTGATAGAAAACAATGATCAATTGAACCGAATTTGGTTTGTGTTGATTGTGTTGATTTTCGTTTGGTTGCCTGTACAGCTACATTGCAAAATCGTTTCGTTGAATGATGGTGATGATTTTCCTGTAGTCGAAGTGAATTGATTGTTTTATGTTTGACCAATAATAATTCATCTTCATCATCATCGTGGACATCGTTATTATTTTGTCCATTATCACCACCACCATTAGTCGATTGATCATTTTTATTGATTGATTCATTAATCAATAATTCATCTAATGCAATGATCATTGCTTCAAATTCATCATCATTCATATTATTCGAATCAGTTTGTGTATATTGACATTTAAAACCACCAATAATATCTAAATCGGTTTGCACTTCACTATGATTAATATTTGTACCATATAAATTTCCATTAATATCATCTGTTGATGAACGATTATTACCAACAAAACGACATGGTAATAAAATACTAATCATATCGAAGCCATTGATCATAATACCACCAGGTCGATTTGATTGATTTGGAATTGGATGATTATCATTCTTATGAATCCATGATTTAGCTGACCAAACTGATTTTAAATGATGAGAATTTTCAGTTGTTGTTCCATTTGTCGATGATGATGATGATAATGGACAATCATCGACTGGAACAATTTGTGCACTTGATGATGATACACCACAGCCCATTATTCATGATTATGATTGATTGATTGATTCTGGATTCTTGATTCTTGATTTTGGTTATTTTTTGTTCCACTATTGCTGTCGAATTGCATTGATGTTTTATGTTTGAAATTATTTTTTGAAATGTAATCTGACTTGGAAAGAAAAAACAAAACCAGAATAATAATTAACGTTTTGTGAAGAAACCATGTTTTGAAAATGAAAAAATTAATTTTGTAAAAATTGTTATAAAATAAATTATAAATGGGAATTATCATTAGTAAAAAAAGAAAAATAAAAGTTTTTTTTCTATTTAATCTTGCTAAGTGTTTTTTCACTGGAAAAATTCTCAGGTGTATTATGTGAATAGTGGAAAAAAACCCAAAGATTTTTACCCGATCATCATCATCCAATGTCAAAATGGAATTGAAAGATAGAAAAAAATGAATGAATCATCTTCAGTAATGAAATTAAACAAAAAGCAGAAAAAAGATTTCGGATTCGATTCTGTAATTTCATTATTATATTCATTATCATTGAAATTACATTGATTACAATTGACCTTTACATTTAATGATTCATTACGTTAATAATGAAAATAATGGATCATACGTGATCATCGTTATATTATTGATCATCATCATCATTAACATTTTGAAACAAAAACGTGATTAGAATTCAAGGGGTTATTTTATTTCTTTTTTTTTTGGACAAAGTCAATGAGAATATCTATGCTGATTTACAAAGTCAATGATAAAAAACAAAACTAATTGATCAATGATAATTCTATTTAATTAATAATATTCTTTACAATGTTATCATTATATTTTTTATAAAATGATATTTATAGCAAAAACAACAGTATTAGTAACAACAGTAGCTATCAATTAAAATGATAATCATTAATGTGAAAGTAAAATCATATCATTCAACAACAAAAACAAAAAACAAAAAACAACTTATTCATGGTCAATCGGTACATTCCATTTCAGCATTTTAGTTATTAAAATGAATGGATTTTTTGAAAGAATTTTACCTTGTTTTTTCTGTTTTGCAAACAAAATTTTTTTAAAAATTCGGCACTAATATTTCAATTGATTGATTGATCATTGATCACTGATCATTGAAACAACAACAACAACACCATCAATATAGGCAAACACAAATGGAAAAATATTATTATTTAAATCATCGTTTATCATTCGATTTATTTGTTGTTGTTTTTCTCAAAAACAAAATGAAAAATTCAAATGTAGCATTTTGTCTGTCTGTTTGTTTGTTTGTCTGGCTGGCTGGTGCTAAAACTAGAAAATCCATTTTATCATCAAGGTTGACATATAAAAAAATTCTTTTATTGTCCAACAAAATATTGTTTTGGGAAATGTGCTAAAACCAACCAAAAAAACTGTCAAAGAAATGTAAAAGTATGTCAAAAAAACAAAACATGGTTGGCCAACGCACAATTATTCTGAACATTTTTTTCTTTTTCTTCTTCTTGGTTGACTGGATCAAGCAAATCACTGTGAAAAGCACATACAGAATATATTTAGTAGTTGATGGTAGTTGACAGAATTTTTTGTTTGTTGCTGGGAAACACCTGAGATAATTCTACCAAGAAAATACAAAATGCACCTATACATACCGAAAGGGTTTATGTTCTGGACAGTTTTTTTTTGTTTGTTTCTAGTTTAGTTTAGTAAATCATAATACACGTTTATCGGTAGTTTTTTTCAAAAAAAATAATGAAATTGTCCTTCATCATCATCATCTATTTCGTTCGTAATCTTCGTGGACGTATTGTTGTTGTTGTAGTTGATGTTGAAATTGGTCGTTGTCGTCGTCGTAATGGTTCAAAATTTATTGTCGAACTTGTAACCGGATTGAATGTAAATAAAAATGGATCAATTGTTGATGTTGTTATAGGTTGTGTACGTGGTATAAAACGACAACCATCTGGACGTTGTGTACAATGATAAAAATGATTATGTAAATCATAACTACGTGCACGAAATATATCGATAAAACGATTTAATTGAAAACGTCCAAAATTTATATATGAATCTTGTTGTCCAATACGATTAAAATCTAAATCAAAAATCGAAAATATAATCCTAATTTGAAATATTAATCAAATTAAATTCACCATCGATCAATGTTGGAAAAAAATTTATAAATCTATTCAATGTAGTATCTTCTTCACGATAAGTTCCATCCGACCATGGTCTTACACCAACAACATTATTCATTGGATTGGAATTATAACCATTGGGATTATAACCCGAACCATATCCATTATGACCATAACTTGAACCTGAACCATATCCATAACCATTATTATTTGTATCTGGTGTTGGTGATATTGAAGATGATGATGATGATGGTAAATTTGTTGTACTTATTGTAACCGGAATAAAAGGACGACGTGTTCCTGCAGGTCGTGGACTTGGCCGCGGACTTGGTTGCGGTCGAGGCCGTGGACGTGGTTGAGGACGAGGTTGAGGGCGAGGCTGCGGCCGAGGTCGCGGACGTGGTTGTGGAAATGGTAGATCGGTTATTGGAGGTCTTATTGTAGTCGTCGTTGTTGTTGTTGTTGTTATTGGATCCTGTTCAAATCCACCATCATCTACATCGTAATCATCGCCGTCGCCGCCGCCATCGTTGCCATTACCACCATTATTATCATAATCATCACCGCTTCCATTAGTATCAGTGTAATCACCAGTTCCAAAATCATCTTTTTAAAAAAAAATCCTAACATTTTTTCCCGTCATTAGATGGCAGCAGTGAATCTTACCTTGTGCAAAAGATTTGGATAATAATGCTAATATCGTAATGAAAATGAATGTTTTATCGATGAAAAACATTGAAACAAAACAATCTTAAATCAACATGATTCGATCCGTATCAATCGAATATTTTGATAAAAATGATTCAATATTTTCATCTTCGACATCGACGATGATGATGATAACCAATGACAATCGATAATAATCATACACAATGGAAATGGTGAGAACTTTTCATTTTTTTCCTTAATTAAAAACTTTTGTCATCAGTGATGATGATGATAATTATTATTATCATTGATTTTCTCTTGAAGAATTTCGAAATCCTTTTCATAAGATCAGGTAAGATTATTGACAAACCAATTTGGGATAATTAAAGTTTTCGCCATCACTGAATCAACAAGTTTTTGTTTTCATTGATTGAATTTTGGCAAAGGCGTTGTACTCTGTGCCAAAAAAAAACAAACCAAGGCCAAAAAAGGTTGTTGGATTTTCCCAAAAATTAATAATCGAACAAGAAAAAAATTCCTTCGAATTTTTAAATTGAATTTGATGAAAACTTGATGATTTAAACAATTGTTAGCTGCCAATAGGATATTGAGTTCTTTTTCTTGTTTCACTTTTTTTCATTTTAAGTTTTTGGAAAAATAATCAATTTTGAAATTCATGACAAAAACAATCGAAAACGATTATTCTCGTCGTCCTACCAAACATCCACCACTAACACGAGCAAAACACCTACCATCACCACCAACACCACCAAATGATAATAGTGGTAAAATTTCATTTATAAATAGTGATGGTAATTGTTATTGTTATGATGGTTGTAAAATATCACCACCATCAACAAACGATACAAATCAATTGAAGCAAACAAAACGAAAAAAATTTCAAAAAAATGTATATTTTTATCTAACAATCATTGTTGTTATAATGATTAATATTTTATATATACAATTTGTTGCCATAAAGTTAATCGAACCAATTGGTGAATCAATATTGATTATATCGCAAATAATATTCATACAAGTACTACTATATCTATGGGCAACAGCATATACTGATCCAGGAATCATACCGAAAGCAAATGGCTATGAAATAATTGCCGTACAACAAGAAATACGTCGTTTATATTTAACTGATAATTATTTAAATAAAAATCGTAATAAACCAAATGATTCACCCGATAATTCATCATCATATTCAAATCGTTTTGGAAAATTACAAACAACAAATCAAACAATAATAAATCCATTTATGAATATGAAAAAAATGAAAATGATAACAAAACCATTAATTATAAATGATCAAAGATTTAGACAAAAATATTGTTATACATGTCAATTTTTTCGTCCACCACGTTCATCACATTGTTCAGTTTGTAATCGTTGTATTGAACGTTTTGATCATCATTGTCCATGGGTGGGTAATTGTGTTGGACAACGTAATTATCGTTCATTTTATATGTTTTTATTATCATTATCAGCATATGGTATATTTACAAGTGCAAATGAAATTGTTGTCATACTTATTGGTTAGTAGTGTCCCAAAAAATTCTTTTTATTACCTTTTTTTTCAAAACAAAACTTACCTGATTGTTTCTCCTTTTTTTTGTCTTTCATTTTTTTCCCATGTTTTTCCCATGTTTTTTTCAACCTGTAGAACATAAAAAAATTCAATCAATGTGGAAAGTATTTCATCAATCACCAATTGTTATAACATTATTATTATTAAATATATTGATTATTTGGTCAATATTAGGTTTAACCGGTTTTCATACATATCTATTAATTAATAATATGACCACCAATGAAGATATTAAACAAACATTTGTTACTAAACAACAACAACAACAACAATCACAATCATATGATATTGAAATGGTTGAAAATCCATTTAGTGATGGATCAGCTTATGGTAATTGTACAAGAACATTATGTTCATCACGTCCAAAAACATATTTAAAATGAACAAAAAAAAATACAAACAACAAAATAAAATAAACTCATTTTGAAATTATAAAAATGAAATATTTTTATTTAAATTTTATTTACAAACAAACAAACAAACTAAAAAAATTGTATAATACAATGATAATTAGCAAAAAAAATATGACTAAAAAAATTCGATGATTTTGGGTTTCATCTTCTTCCTTTTTTTTGTCAATGCGGTGGTCACTGTCGTTTGTCACACGAAATAAATATACAAAAAAAGAACAAAAGAAAAAAAATTGACCTGTTTAGTTTATATAAGAGTTTGATTGATTGTGTCGTGGCCGTTTGTTCGTTCATTCAAAGAACACAAAAAAAGCCAAAGAATAATGATTTTAAGATATCTTTGGACATTAACAGGGTCACATTATTAGTTAGTGGTAGAAGAAGCAGCAGTATAAAAATGGTAATGTTCATCACAGTTTTAAAATGAAGAAAATAATAAAAAGAAAGAAAATATTCAATGAATGAATATTATTCGCATATTCTTTTGAATGTCAAATCATCATCATTATCCGATTGTTGTCGCTGTGTTTTTATATTCTGAAAGAATTTTTTTTCAAAAGAAATTTCTTTCGTTCGTTCGTTTGTTCTTTGTGGTTGACACAATTCTTATCTTTTTTTGCTGATGTTTTTTCATTATTAAAAATGTTTTTAAGAAGCATGGATATATCACCCGTTGTGTGTGTGTGTATCATCAATATCATAGCACGATACATTGATAGACGGCAAAAAGAAAACTGTCCACCGTTTTGTCATTGTCGAGATCATTTATTTTCTGAATGAAATTTTTCTTTACTTTGCTATTTTTTTTCATTCAATAAAAAATCGGCCTGAATAGTAATGATGATGATGATGATGAAAAGATATTGATGATGGATAATAAAAACAACAACCACCATAATATTGATGATGATAATGGCCTAATTGATGATGATGAATTATTTGATCTTTTTATCATTGAATAATATTGACCACTATCACCATCATCATCTAGGTCACTATTACTATAATCTGTTGCCACTTTACGATTATTATTATTATTTATTATAATCGGATAATGATGATGAGGATGATGTGATGATGGTAATGGTTGTTGTGATGGAACATTCATACGATGATGTTGATGATGAATTGGATTACGATGATTATTATTATTATTATTGTTATTTCGATCAATAATTAATGGATGATAATGACGATTATGACTTGACCATTCAATTTTTGCCTGATTTTTATTCTCATTTGGCTGTTGTTGTTGTTGATTACCATTACTAATGCCACCACCATTATTCGATGATGATGATAATTTAAATTGATCATCCATTTTATGATATTGATGATGTTGATCGGCAGTTAAATTCAATGGTATAGCTGATGGCGATGGCAAAGATGGTGTTGATGATGATGGTGGTAAAATAGTTGAAGATGTCATTGATTCATCTTTATTATTCTGATCATAATGTCGACAACGATTAATCCAATATTGTTGTCGTAATCGTTCAATAGCACCAGTTGCTTTTAATTCACGAATAACTTTATTAAATGATTGAATATAAGGTGAACCTTTCGGCAATGCAATAGCAAACCGACGTGGATACAATGAACGTGTATCATATAACATTGTTAAATTACAATAAATCCCGGTTAAATATTCAGCAAATGTTGATTCAACAATAAATGCATAACGACCAGCATTAACACGTTCAAAACCTTCTTTAGCTGAACGAACTAATGCATCCGGATTACGAAACATCCATTCGAATATTTTTCGGGCAATTGGATCTCGATGTTTTGATAGATGAAAATATGTAGCACCAGTTTTATATGTACCATATGTAAGTAGATCATTTCTTTCATTTGTTGGTAAATCTTGTCTATTATGATTAATTTCATTTAATTGAACTAAATCTTCTAATGTACGTAATCCAACAGCATCATCACGTCGAATAATTGCGGCCAATTGATTTTCCAAAAATGAATCAGTAAAATCAACATAACGTTTACGTACATCAGTTACAGTTAGATCGGCAATAGCAAAATCCGCTCTCTATGAAAATAATCAAAAAATCAAACAAACATAAACGAATTAGAATGATAAAAATTGAACAGAAATCACAAAAAAAAAATGTCAAATCAAAACTTACATTACGAAAAACTTCACCAATCATTCCATTAATATTATTACCATTATATTCGGTACCATATTTACCATCGGGTGAAAAATATAAACGATATTCGAAGCCAATTTTTTTCGATATTAAATTCATTAAATCAACAATAAAACCTTCATAACGATCATTAATACGATCAGCATATGGCCAATTCTATAATGATAATGTGTGAAAACGAAAAAATGAAAAACATTAAAATAAATTCAATGCAACAAGTGTATAATCGGGTGTGTGTGTGTTTGAAATTATCAAAGGAATTTTTTCATTCATTTTTCATCTTGTTATCGATTTTTAATTTGATTTTGATTATGTGTGTGTGTGCTGTGTTGATTTTATTGATCGATTTTATTCCGCAAAAAAAACAACCAACCAAATCAACAATTTTCCTATTTAGTTCTCTTTGTTGAAAGAATCGAACGACACACACACGCAAAACGCGAATATTTTATTGCTTTTTTTCCCTAGCCAAATTTGGTTTAAATCGGACAGGCTCGGGTCACACTCATTCATTCGTTTGTGTGTCTTTGATTTGAATGAAAACATTTAGGGGTCACGGTCTTTATGTTGATCAAAGTTAGCGTGTCAGCGAAAACAAAAAAATTAGCCGAAAAAATGTTTGTTTGTGTGATTGAACCAAATAAACAAAAAACTAAATTCGAATTATGGTGTTAGAAATGTTTATGAAAAATTCTTTCCCTTACTCGCTTGTTTCACACACCATTATCATATAAACAATAATAAATTTGATGATTGGTGGTGGTGTGTACGATGACCATTACCATCATCAAAAAAGATAAAAACCATGTTATTATATTAGAATAAAATGGTGGTTTGTTTATTGTTATCGTTTGTTTGTTTGTTGTTATTGGTTTGGTTTGCATCTTTAACAACAAAATTGGTCTATGAATGTTTGTTTGTTTGTATTTCAAAGTTTTATGGCCATCAATCGATGGATTTATTCAATGTTTTTTCTTTTTGTTGTTGTTCTTTTCTGGTTGTTGAACGAGAAAAATTATTACATTCGGAATCTTTTTGATGATTCCTGAAATTAAAGTAGGAAAAAAAATCATATGCAAATTCTTAAGCATTTTCGAAAAAATCCGACTAAACAAGCAAAAAAACAAAAAAAAAATTTGCATTTTATGATCGAAAAAGAAAAAAATGATTTGGCCATTCCAATTATACCATCACTGACTATAGACTAATTTTAATTTTAATGATAAAATTATTTAAAAATATTTCAACGAAAAAAAATGACCATAACTTATATAGTTGAGTGAGGTTAGGTTGATGACTATATGACCATAACTTATGGTTGAGTGAGGTTAGGTTGATGACTATATGACTATGACTAATAGTTCAGTGAGGTTAGGTTGATGACAATGACGTTATTTTTTTCATTGATTCATCAAAAGTCAAAATATCAAATCATCACCATCACCATTCATTACCACCCAAATAAATTGGATAATGAATGATTTTTTATCAAACTTCTTGTTCTTCAAACCGGAACAAAAATTTCGTGATCAAAACAATTTCGCAAAAAAATATAGCGATGACACGCGATTTCAAATCGATAATTTATTGATCAAATAATTTATTGCAAATCAAATTGCGATTTGAATTGTTCAACAAGAAGGAAAAAGAAAGAGAGAAGGACATTCGACAAAAAATGAATGCATAGGAATTGTATATTTTCGAATACAAGTATTGATTATATCGAAAGAAAAAATCTTAATCATCATCAAATCATCAAATGGTGAATAATAATAATAATTTAAACGCACCCATAATACACACTTGAAAAAACAAAACAAAAAAACAATAATCATTCAAACGAAAAATATTCATTGAATTCACTAATAATAATAATAAAAAGTTTGATTTTGAATGATTGGTTATTGCTTTTTGTATTGTTTTCATTTGCACGCAAATTTCGAAATGATTCAATGATTTTTCAGTCAATCAATTAATTAATTACAGTTGGAGCTTGTTTTTTGGAAAATTGTCATTAATAATTTTCATGGAAATTCATAATGATTACAGTGACCTATAGATCTTTTTGTTTTTTTTTGCCAATTTAGGAAATGGATTTTTGTTTTTTTTGTTTTGTTTGGTGAAATTCGTTTGTTTTTTTGTTTTTAGCAAACAAAGCGAAACTTACCCGAAATGTTACACCTCTTAATAGGGGAAAATTTGGTTTTGCATCCACGATAAATTGTTGTTGATTAACGATAATACCGAGCATTGTGATGATGATCAATTTGATCATTCGATGCTGATGATCACTTATCGACGACATGATTATTGTGTGTTGGGTTTTCTTTCATGTAAAATAAACAAAAATTGGATCGAAAAAAAATTCACTTTAAATAGTTTGATGATAAAATTGAAATAATAATAAAAAAACCGGATTGAAAAAAACAATAAAATCTTTTTCATTCATTCAATCAATCAATGATTTAGCCAGGTAAGAACATTATACACACATAAAACAATCACTTGATGATGATCAATCAAAAACCGAAAAAAAAAGTTAAATGGAATTGAATTAAAGTTATCATTTTTTTTTTGTTTCCACTGGAAAGATGCTAAAAAAATATTTTCAATCAAACAATGTTGAAAACAACAATGTGTATATATTTTATCAATTTCACATTTAATAATAGCATCAACAACAACAGCACACAGGTATTCAACAGGTGGTCTTTGTAAAAAAAGAATCGATGTCGTCGTTATTAGGTTAAATTCGTTTAAGCATCTTTCACAATTTTATTGTTTGTCGAATGTCGTTTAAGGGGAAAAAAATTTTTGAAAACAGCAGAAAAACATTCCAAACAAACAATTTTTTGACAACATATGATGTGTGTGTGCGTATGATACATTTATATATTTGGAACGATGATGATGAATAATAATAATCAACATAAATATGGCAGATTTTAAGGCGTTGGTGATGGTTGTTGTTGTGGATTTCTTTTTCATTCGAAATTTACATTGGAAATCATTAAAAAAGAGATCGAGGATTTTGACGATTTTGATGTGGTGTGTTGATTTGAATCAGAAAAAAAATCAGTAAAATGCAAAACGACCAAATGAAATGATAGGATCGAAACCTTATGTCTTTAAATGGACAACAACAACGATTATTTGGAGATGGAAAAAATCGAAAAAATGTTGAACAGACGATGTTTAAATATAAAATTTTTGTTTTCAATTTATCAAACTGGATTTCTTCTCTTTTTCAATCTTTTTTTAAAAACATATCATTTCTTTGATCAATTATTTGGTGGTGGGAAGAAGTTGAAGAAAAAAACAAATCACATTCAATTTATGGTTTTAAAACAAACGTTTTTTCGGTGTTTATGTATGTGTTCCGTTCGATACGGCAAACAAATTTTAAATGAAACATCGATCGTGGTATATTTCTCATCATCATGGCCAGTCGACGATATTATCGTCATCTGAATTGATAGATGGACACAACACAAGGTAGAAGCATAGGATAATGTTGGCCATCAAAAATCATGATCAACAAATCAAACGACCGTCTGTTCAACTGTTTGTAAAAATTGATATCCAACGATGGATATATGAAACATGTGAATAAAAAGCAAGCAAGCAAGCAAACAAGCCCATGCAACAAAAAGTCAAACAAACATTGAATGAATGAAAAAAACATTCAAACTAACTAAAGTAATAGATAGAATCACCTACGCGAAAAATTATTTCATTTCATTTTTTCATCAAATCTGACAAATCATTGTGTGTGAGAGAATGGCAGAGAGAGAGGCAGTCGGAGAAAGAAAACTAAAATGAGAAAAGGAAACTGGTATTTGTCAGTCATTCATTCAAGTCATTCAATCATTACATATAGCCAAAACAATATTGGTCTAAACATGGGGTCCTCATAATGGAATTTTTCGTTTTTTGTTCTTTACCTAGCTGGCCTTTTTTTTACCAAACTGTCTGCCGGGTTCAATGTAAATATGATATTGCCATTGAGATTTTCAAGCTTGATTTGATTTACTTGAAAAAAAACTTGAAAATCCAATAATTTCGATAACAGATGACTGATATGATTTTTGTTTGAAGATTTTTGTTTGACATGTTTACTAAAAAGAAAATGACAAGACTAAATACCCACCACCACTACCACCCACTTCAATTTGTAAAAAAAAATGTTTGATTAGTGAAATGATGATTTTGAACAAATGGAACAACACTTGTGGTCGATGATGAACATCGAAATCACCAAATGATGATGACAAGTGTTGATCTTTTCAAGAAAATCCAATTTAAAGAAGCCAAAATAATGATGAAGCCACACCAAGATATCGAAGCACTTGAAATTTTTTTCTTATTTAAAATTCATTTTGGGTGAATTGAAGAGAGGAAAAGAAATCAAATAAATCCTACACACAAAAAAAAAGATTTTCATTTTTGGATATTTTTTTCGGTTATCATTTTCGGTTGGATAAGATTTTTCCTGAAAAAGAAAGAAAAACGACGATAATGGAAGAAAAAATGATGGTCGATGGATGAACATTATTATCATTGTCGGCACATTATGATTATCATCATCATTTTTTATGATGATTTTTGTTCACCACAATCACAACCACACAATGTTTGTATTTGTTGATGTTATTGACCATTGAATTTTAGAAAAATTTCATTTATTCAATACACATACCTATCCATTATCATTTTAAACAAACGAACGAAACAAAACAAACCAGAGGGAAAAAAATCTTTAATTTTCCTTGATGCATTTTTTTGAATATTTTATGAAAAACACCAATCAAACACACACACACACACACAAACGATTATTATTATCAAAAAAACACCTGTGAAGATTTTTCATTTATGTTTTTTGATTATTTTGCAGGTTTTCCAACCAAATCAACAGGTATTCTGTATTTTTTAAAAGGATTTTAAAAAGAAGTTTTGAATATGATTTTCATTTGAAATTTTTTTTTAATCAGTTCAAAAAAGCAGCATTCAAAAAACAGCAAAAACAAAAATCGTAAATTTTCTCGTCTGATAAGCTTCTGTGTTGATTTGAAATGATGGTGGCTGATGGATTGAAGTTGAAAATTTTCAATTAGTTTTTTTGTTGTTTTGTTTTTTTGATAAAAATCTTTCGCGAACAAAAAATGATGAAATGAAAAACATTCAAAATCGAGCAGATTCGGATTGTTGTTTTTTTTTTGATCCGGAAAAACTTCAATTTTCAGATTTTTGAACCGAGTCTGCTCAATTCGAATGTTTTTTTTTGTTCGAATGCGAAAAAAGGAAAAGTGATTACCATCACAATCGATAGTATCGATAGTATCTCTTTGGTATTATCATTTCAATTGAAACAAGGTGTAGACAACACCAACCAACCAACCGACCAAACAATCAATTGATGGAAAAGTAGATCAAATGAATAGATTATCATCATTTTATCCATGTAAGTTTATTGTTGTTGAAAACCTACACCTTTTTTTCTTATTATTATCATTTACAAGCATCTATATAGGATGATGATTGAAAAAAAAGAACATCCAAACCGTGTATTGAATGCCGGATATTTTTCCCTATTTATAGTCAAAATAATGATTGTTCAATGAATGAGAAAATATGAATAAAAAGTCATCATTTTGGTATCCGAGATTAAGATTCTCTATTGATATGAATAAAAAAATGAAAGAAAAGATCTGTTCTGTTGTTTCTGAGGAATAAAAATAACGGTAACATCGAACGAGTCATTCATCGAATCGAACAACAACAAAAGTTTTCTGTTTTGAAAATTGATTTTTTTCAACAAAAAAAAAATTTCAAAATTAAGAAGAAAAACTTACTTAAATCTCGAAAGATTGTAAGACTGAAACCGATTATTATTTCGTTGTTGTTTTGGTATAACCGAAATTTTCCTACCGATTATTATCATCATCATTGAACATTCGAAATGGACCTGATAATTATTGTTGTTTTATTAATCAATTGGCAAAACAAGGTAGTCCTTCACTAAGTAAGGAAGAAAAACGAAACGAAAATCCTTCCTAATCGTCATCATCAATTTTCTCAATCACACAATTTGGATTTTGAGAAGGAAAAAAAATTTTTCCCCGTTTTTTTTCGTTTCAAAAAAATAATATTCGATGGATTTTATAATGGATTTTTTTCATTGAAAATTTTCGAAAAAGGAACCAATTTTTTTTTGGCCAATTTTTATCGTAAAAGACGATGATAACGACGACGACGACGATGATAATGATACGCCCAAAATCCGAATTGGATAATCATCACGGAAATAACAAACTTATGTCATCATCATTCGAAGTTGATCTTTGATCTTTTTTAAAAGAAAATTTTTAATTCCCGATTCGGTAAATAATTTGATGATGGTGAAAAAAAAAGAATTCCAATGATCAATCATTGATCCTTACAAATTATTTGATGGCAAACAACAACAACAAATAAATCCGAATCCAATCGAATCGTTTAATTCAAAGATCGAAAGAAAATCGGATTAAAAAAATTTTCTCGGTCAAAATCAATACAGGAAAAAAAATTTTTTTCTTTGTTGTTCGTTTCGCATATGTTTTTCTGCCATTCATTCATTCGATTTGATTACCATTTAATTTTTCTTTTCTTTTCTTTTCTTCGAATAGATCCTGATAATCAATCATCAAATCTAAATGGTGATTGTTGATCATCCACATCCAAATCATCATCGCATAGTGAAATATTAAACAACACAGTATCCCAATGATATATAATTCTTGTCATTTTTGTTTTGGCCAACAACAACAACAACAATGATAATAATCGACGACCCACGTTCAAAATAGACACATACATACACCACATGCCAAACATAACAATAGAATAGATTTTTTTTAAGGTTAGGTCTGGTACAAATGCCATATCCATTCATTCGAGCCAATGCAAAGATGTTTAAAGTTTTTTTTGTTGTTGTTCAAATCGAAGAAATGAAAAGAAAGGTAGACACAATAAGATAATAATCAAGGGCAATCAAAAAATATAACAAAATTGGTTCAAATTTTCTTTTTCTTTTTCTTTCTTTTCAGGTAAAGTACCCATATACCAATTGGTAAGAAGAAAAGAAAAGGTAAAATCGTTTTCATTGCTCTTTTTTGAATGGGTCAAATTAACCTTTGATCTTTGAAATTTTTTTTCTTTTTTTGAAAAATTACCTGTGTGCAGGGTACGATTGTTTTTCTGTTGTTGTTGTTTTGTTGTTATGATTAAGATCTACAACAACAACAACAACAACAAAAAACGGAACAATATTGCCCATTTAGTTTAGTTGGTTTCAATCAAATCAAAAATTTGTTTTCTACCTTTGATGGCTAAATATTTCTTTCTTTTCTTTTACTCCAAACATAGACAACAAAAACATTCGATTGAAAATTACCGAAGTAAGCAAGAAGGAAAAATGGCCAAACAGCGATCCTTTTTCGTTCGTTCATTCGATGAAGAAGAAGAAGAAAAAGAAAAACTTGAACTAAAATGATAATCATATGGTTTCTTTACAAGTGAACCTTACCCTAAGGACCATTATTATTATTATTGCATTCTTCAACCAAATATAGTCGAAATAGTTTGTACATTTGTTTGGTCTTTATTATCATTTTTTGGTGTGTCATTTTCTTTTTCCAATTCATCATACATCATGTATGGAAAAAAAATTATTATCGATTAAAATTTCAATGTTTGGTTGGTTGTTTGGTTGATGTTTGATGATGATAAAAACTAGAACACCACCAACCAACCAACCAAAATATCGTCTAAGTGAAAATTCTCAAGACCTTACTCGATAATGTTGATGATGGTGGTGGGCAAAACATTATCACTTTTTAATGGTCGAAAGTAGAGTAAAGAAATTTTCAAGAATCCGCTTCGAAATGATGATGATGATGATGGTGGGCAAAACATTATCACTTTTAATGGTCGAAAGTAGAGTAAAGAAATTTTCAAGAATCCGCTTCGAAATGATGATGATGATGACCAACCGGTGAGGGTGGGTCACACCTATGTTTTGGCTTTCTTATCGACCATTATCATTATCATCATCATCATCATCATCGTTTGAATGAAAGAAAGAAAAACATTGAAAAATGATGATGATGATGGTTCATATATGGAGGTCAACGTTTAACATAAACATAAACACACACAGAGAAAGCCCGTATTTTTATATTCATAATTCAACAATACGGATGCGTTGGTGTTTTATGTTCATCATCATCATTGACTTTTTAAATGGATAAAACATATGAACATTATGTGTGTGTATGCAAGCAAGAAAAAGAAAAAACATTAACCATATTAATCCATGTCAATGACCAAAACCAAAACCAAAAATGAAATGATGAAATGAAGATTTCCTGTTTATTTATATTCATTTCAATTTGGATTTGCTAAAAGTCTGGATATTCTTTTCGATATTCCATATTGTAGCTATGTTGAGAAAGAAAGAAAGAAGAAAACCGAAATGTCATTTGTTCAGCACAAGCATCCTAAATTGATCATGTCCGGCTAAAAATCATCATCATCATCAATTCAGGTTGATCAATTTTGTTTTTTCTTTGTGCATATCACTTGTGTGCTTGTGTGTGTCAAAATATTTTCATTCAAATTTTTAAATCAAAAAAAAATATTTTAACCTCTGTCATTTTGACCTTTTTTTTCTTTGTTTCTTCTTGAACAATTAAATCAATGAATGAATGTTCGATTTTCATTTTAAGGAAATTAAAAAAAAAACTTTTTGAAATTCTTACAAAAAGAAAGAAAATTGAGGATGGTGATGGTGGTAATCATTATCATTATCATTCATTCCATTCCATTCATTTTTTAACGCTTGTTGTTTGGGCTTGTCTTTTAAGCGAAATGAAACATAGGACAATCAATCGATAATTTGTGCACAAACATGGGTTTAGTAGATAAGCGACATGCATTTTTATGATTCGAATATCTTTTTTTTGGTTAAACTTTTTTTCGAAAAAACTGGAGAAGAAAAAAAACTAGGCTTGGCACCAAACACTTAAGCTTCTGGTAATGGTCATTTATTCATCATTCCCGTCCAATTTTGAAGATTGTTGTGATGAAGAATGCAATAAGTTCTTATTTAGTCATTCTTTTCTTTTTGTTTTGTTTTTCGGTTGGGGTTATCAAATTCTGGCCAATTTTTTTTCGGCTGTTTTTTTTTGGCAAATTTTCTCTTGTTTTTGTTTCTCTTAATTTTCAGGGTTAGGTAGATTAACTTTGATTGGTTGTAAGCGGTGTGTTAATTATTGTTTCAACAACAAAAACAAAAAAAATTTGATTTTTTTGTTTGAAAAACCAGGTAGAAAACTAGGAATTTGGATTTGCAAGAAAAAACGTAAAAATTGTGAATAATTTTTTTTCAACGACAATGTTATCCGGGTAAATTCATTCGTTTTTTTTTGTTTTGTTTTAACCAGGCTTTTGTTTTGTTTTTTTTTCAATTCTGGTTCATTAATGAGGCTGCTGTTGTTTTGAATGATGATGATGATTATTCGCCAAAAAAAAAAATTAACATTTGGGTGTTGTAAATGATGTAGAAATAGCAACAACAACGAGCAACGAAATTATGAATCCGATTTTTTTTTTTGGTTTTGGACGAATAAATTCATTTCAAAACAACAAAACAAAGAAGAAATTTTATGTAATTTGAAGCTTTTTTACAATTCAATTGGATTTAAGCTAAAACAATCAGACCAGAAGCAAGCAATGATGAAGATTCATATTTTTGTTTTGATGATGGTATCTTGTAATTGCATTTGATGGTGATTATAATGTTAATGGTAATGATGATAATGAACTTGAATTGAGATGGATTTGATCATAATTATGGCAATTCCTGGTGGTGGTGGTGATTCAAACATTTGAAAATCGACCAACTAAAACTACCACCACTATTTTTTGGCTATTGTTTCGTCGCTGTGAAATCATTAAAAAATCATTTCATTTCTGCATTTCGATGCCTGATGGCTAAAATATGGATGATGTGGGTTTCCAAAAAACAAAACAGCTTTCAGTGAATGATAATGATGCTTATCATTCATTCATCCCCCCCAACAATTCATAATTTTTCGATTTAATTTTTTTTTTCGAAAAAAAAGAAGAAATTTGAAACTGAATTAATCGATCGATTAGTTGATTTTCAGTTGTTTTTCATTTGAGAAAACATTTCAATTTTCGAAAAACAATTTCATTACGATTCATTTCACATTACTTGCTTTTTGACTTGATAATTGCAATCGAATGATTGAATAATTCATAATTCATAATTGCCTATTGCATGAATCTAATCTCGACACAGGTTAAAATAGTGGAAAAAAATTGGATAGCACTTTAAAAAATGATAATCGTTTCGTTGGAATCCAATTAAATAATGATTCAGATCTGGTGGTGGTAAATTTCATTTTAGGATTCTTTAAAAGGTCAGTAAATGATGCAATCAAATGAAAACCTTAAGTTTTTATAAAAAAATTCCAAATGACCGAAATAGGTTTCACTTTGAAAATCAGAAAATTTTTTCCGAGCTAAAATGGCCATTTTTTGCAAGATAAGAATTTTGTTTTTCAACCAAAAAAAAAATCTAAATAAATGTGATTTGCATGTTCATCATGATCAAGAAATGCAGAAAAAAGAAGAAAAAAAATAAATGTTGTCGATTGAAAAATGCAATGAATATCCAAAGAAAAATTGAACAAACTGATGCCATTATCCGATGATGATCGTGATCTGATCTTTTCTTTTCACCACCATCATCATCATCAACCATCGATGCATTTTTGAATGTGAAGAAAAAAAAACATTTTAAAGCTCAAATTACCGATAGAAAGCAAGCAAATACACAGGGCTAACTAAAAGATTGATTTTTCTCGAAATTTTAAAATTTTTTTTTTGTTGAAATTTTTGATTATCACCATCAAGTTATTTTCATCAAATGAATTTTGCCATCATCATCGTGATATGAATGAATGAATGAATGACCAGTATGGTTCAAGAAAAGTCAAAAAAAAAAATTATTATCATTATCAATGGCAAATGATCTTAACCTGGCTGGCTGGCTGCCTGCCTGTGTCTGACTATGTCGTCAATCACCACTATTGATTCGTTTTAGTGAGGGAAAAAAAGAAAAAATCCGGCACAGAAACGTAATGATATTATCGGTGATACAGAGAGACACAGAGACTGAGAGAGAAAATTCAATTTAATTCAATAGCCAAAACATCCGAAAGATGCTCTATAAATTTCAAATTAGTTCGAACGAAAAAGATGAACGAAGAAATTAAATTAATCGTATTCCGGGCTACCAGTGATAACTACTATAACAACAAGGTTGATGATGATGCGATTTTGATGTCATCAAATAAATTTTAAAAAAAAGTTTACCGGAATTTAAATTTTAATTCAATCAAATGGGGGGGGGAAAAAAGAAATTTTTTTTAAAGGGAAAAATCTCGTTGAAAGATTTGTGATGAATTTGTTGTTGTTTTTGGTTTGAAATTCAAAAAGATTTTGAAAAAAAAATTTATGACAAACATCGACAACAACAACAAATCAACCTACCAACCAAAAATTCTTAAACATCCTTGTTTTTGAATTTTATTTTTTAAAAATTTTTTTTCGAAATCAAAAAAAAACCCATAACCATAAACCAGGACAGGCCATAATTGATGTACGTTTGCTTGTTTGGAAACATTTCAAAAAATCAAAAATAAAAAAAAAGTTATTATGACGATGATGCCAAGCCCATTGGTTTTTATTGATTGTAGCAAACATTAAGATCAAAAGATGACCACCATATTATCATCATCATCATCAATGATTCAGTGGTCGCATATTGATCATCATCATTTAGAAACCAAAAAACAACATAAACGGTCACGTTGACGCCTTTAATTTAAATCAATAATCATCATCCATATTGGCTTCTGCTTATAAGATGAACCGGATTCTTTCTTTTTCATTTTTACTTTCAAAAAACAATTTCGGTTTACTACCTTTTCAAAATAAATAAAATTGTTAATTGATTTTAATTTGATTATAGAGTGAATTTTAAGGTTAGGCATTCAGCCATATTGTGCCATCGAATTACATAATAATCATCGTTGATTTTTGATTTTTGATATTTTCTTTCCTTTTTTGGCAATGGAATTTTATTTTCAAACAAAAAAAAAAGCAATTTTATTTGATAAAAATCATCAATGATGACCATAATTCACTGAAATTTATTTGGAAAAAAAAGTTACTATGTAAATATAAATGTTTTTATAATGTGAATTTTTTTTCTGGCAGAAACAAGATTTTCATCAGTGATAACCTTATGTGGTTTTCCAAAATTTTGATAAAGAATTTTGTCCAGCAAAAAAAAATTTTTTGAAAAAAGCAACAGGTGTCTATTTTGGCCACCTTGTTCACCTTGGGTGGGTATAGAGAATTCAAAAATCAAAAAAAAAGATCCCTCTATATTTAACCCTAACGTATGTGTTACGTTTAACGCCTACTGTTTTTTATTTGGTTTTTTTTTTCGTCAACAAAATCAAACACGTGTCTAAAAAAATATTTGAAAAAAAAACGGGAAAACAGAGCCCAGGTGGGTCAACACACACATTTGTAAACAAAACAAACAGCCAAAACATTCCACTTTTGGTTCAAAAGAAAACTTTGACTAAAATATTTTTTTTCTGACCTAATACAAATGACAAATATTGATTCATGAATGATTTTTGACGAAAAATTAAGGACAAAGATTGGAATTTAGCTTTCATTTCATTTGTTTGTTTGTTTATGTTTGTTTTTCAATTCATTTCACCGTTTTGTTTTGTTTTGTTTTGCATATAGGACAAAATTATCTGCGAGAATTATCATCTCCGATGGAAAAACAAGAAAGAAAAGAAAAAAGAAAACCAACGCAAATGTTTGCACACAGAAACAGAAAAAATACAGCTGAGAAAACATTTACCTAAAATGGAAATACCATCATCATAATCATCAATTTTATATTTCCATACGAATTAGCGAAAAACTGAGATTCATTTCTGGTCGAAAGAAAGAAATCTTTTTCATTTTATTTGATTTTTTTTTATTAAATCTATTCCTGGATTCACAACAACAGCAAAAACAACAAAAATGCGTAGGTTTTATTCATTTTCTACAATTTTAGGTTTGAATTTTAGCATCGAAAAAAAACTTAAATGAATAAAAAGAAAGAAATAGATAAGATGTGAAACCTGTCGGTTAATTTTAATCAACATTTTTTTTTTGTTTGTTTGATTTTTGATTTGCCTTTTTTTTCTTGTTAGTTAAATGCGGTCAAATTTTCTCTTGTTTGATTGACCACACAAACAACCCTATTGTAAATTTGCAAAAACATGAACTTTCAACATAAAAGTAATCAAAAAAATCAAAAATTCATTCATTCATAATGTCAATCTTTTTTCTGCTTTTCTTTTGTTTTGTTTTTTCGGGTTAATCTTTTTTTTTAAGGAAAATCCATTCATTCATCCATCTAAGGCTATCAATATTATGGTTTTTTTTGTTGAAACAAAATAGGCATCTATCCGGGATGCCAAACCGTCATTCATTTCATCCATTTAAAAACTTTGAAAACTTTGTGTGTGTTGAAAGCTTTTATTTTTTTCTCATTATTTTACGTGTATCGAATACATTTATATTTTGTTGTTTAATTTTTGAAAATGTACAGAATGAATTGAAAATGATGAAATTCACAATTTAAAAAAAAAATTTTTGGTAAATTTTTCATTAAACCAACGAATTCTTTCTACACATAGTAAAACAAGCATTGAATGAATGATGAATCCATCCATCTACCAAAGTAGAAACAAAAAAAAACCACATCTGTCTGAAAGATCTGAATCATCATCGTTTTAAACATCTTTTCAACGATTAAAGCTGGCTTGTCAATCAATTTTGCTTTAAAAAAAAAGTTTTTTTCTCCATATGAATGCAGTGGAGGTTGTGGTCAATTCCATTGCTTAGTTGTTCAGTGAATTGAATTGATTAGATAACCAAAAGTTATCGTCGTTTTTTTTCAATGTGAAATCTTTGCTTTTAATTGATGATTGAATAAATTATAACCCTTGTTGCTGTTAAAATTACATTATGATTATTATTATTGTACAGATGATAATAAAATTGGAAAAATTTACAAAAGAAATTAATGTTAATGTTGTTGGTTGTTTGAATGAATACGATGAACTTGTTTGAAAATCTGTAGAATTATTTTCTAGATAATTATCATCGTTGTCATTATCGATGCTAATATGATGATCGGGAAAATCATTTTGATGTTGTGCTTGCATTATTTGTTGTTGTTGTTGTTGTTCACATTGATTATACCAATGTTGATCAATAATTAATTCTAATTTTCCCGTTTCATCCAGATATTCTAATGATTTTTCAAACAAACCAAGAAATGGTGAATTTCTTTCAACAGCTATTGCATATTCTGGTTGAAAATCATAACCAAAACTTTTTGGATCATTTGAATCCGTAGTGATTACTTGAAGATCACAATCATAAGCGGCAATCAAATCTAATCGTACATTATCCGATACTAATGCATAATCACGTTCAGATTTTACTAGATTTATAGCGACATCCATTTGCTAGAAAAAAAAATTTTCAATGAAAATCAGTTAGATTTTAAACAAAACAAAACCAAAAAAAGATGAAAAAAAACATACAGCAATACTATATGGTAAAAGATGATAAACTAATGGATTACTGGATGTTTTAAAATAACGATCAGCCAATGATCCTTTGATTACAATACGTTTACTTTGTTGTAATATTTCACGTAAATCTTTTTTGCCATTATCATTTAATAATAATGATGATGATTTTCTTATTAAAACAGCTAATTTTGAACGCATAAATGGCCTTGTAAATTGTACAAATCTTTTTCGTTCTGATGTTATTTCCATATCGGCAATAATAAAATCGGCATGCTTTTACAAAAAAAAAAGATTAGAAAATTAGATAACCAGAAAACCAGAAAAAAGATAAGCAAATATTTTCGTAATCAATATCGGTAATTATTTATTGTAAATTGCTCAAATCAACAAAACAAAACCAAAAACGGCTCAATTAACTTTTTTTGATCTAATTTTTCGGATTCTTCAGTGTTTTTATCTATGGCATTAACTTTTGGCAACAAATACGGTGCAATATTGGACTTTGTTCCCTGAAAATAATAATGATTTTTATCAAAACAGAACTGAAAAAAACCATCATTAATAGACATTATTTCATTTTACTACCAACAACAATTTTACTACTATCATGGTGGTCGAAAGAAAGAATCATTTACATTATGACGATGATGATGAGTGATGAACAACAGCAAATATTGGTTCGTTTATGATATGTGATGGTTTTTTTTCTCTTTTTGTGTTGTGTAAATACCGGATTCATGTCCGGAAACATTATTTACTTTTAACTAAGAACAAAACAAAAATCGTGGTCAGACAGAAAAAAACCCCTAACCTAACCTGACCTAGCACAAAATTTTTCCGCCAAACAATGTTTACACATAATGAAAATAGCGAAGAAAGCTGAACAGATGATGATCAATATTAAACGATCAAACACTTGTTGTTGTTGGTTTTTTGGTTTTTTTGGGTTGTTTTGTTTTTGTTTTTCAAACTTACATTTTCATAGATTTCACCAATCAATCCTTGTGGTTGTGTTGTTGTTATTGTTGTTATATTACCACCAATATCTCCACCATAAATAGCTTCAGGCAATGTACGTAATTGATAACTAAATTGGCCAACATCACTTATTTCTGTCATTAATTCGTGAAAAAAATTCACATAAACATCTGAATGTGGATGATTTGGCTAATCGTAAAGTAGTTATCGTTATATTATCGTTCCATAAATCAATAATACATACCACTAATGTAACACCATTCAAATGAAGTGTATTAATATGGAAAATATTACCGAAAAACAAGATAATTATTAATGATAAAATTGACATTTTGTTGTTGTGGTTCATTTGGTGAAACTTTCTTTCAATAAACACTGTTTACTGAAGACAACCCTTCGTTCAGCTGAAGGGAGAAAAACTAGGAAAATCGAAAAATTATTTCCAAAAAATTTTTGACAATTTAGAAATTTGAAAATCTGGAAAAATCTGTCATAACATAATAAACACAAAACTGACTGACTGACTGGTAGCAAAATTTTTCTATTTGATTATGGCTGGTTATAATGCTAAAAACAAAACAAAAATCCAAATAAAAAAAAACAAAGACGTATTTTGTTTGGTTTTTGCCGCATTAAAACAATAAAAATAACGGGAAAAAAATAAAGAAGAAGATCAGGATGAATCATTTTTACTGTATTTCTATTTTGCTATCCCTCTCATTCACTCACTTGCTTTTAAGATTTGACAAATGTTTTTTGTTTTTGTTTTTGATGATGATATACTTAAGGGGATATCATTATCATCATTTGGTGAATGATGGATATTTTTTTTGCTATTTGAATGCAATCATATTGTACGGGTAGTCTGTACAAAAAAAAATTCCGAATGATTCATTCTCATCATTTGAACTATAGACGACTAGAATCATATTCGACAATTGGCATCCGTAAAAAAAAAACATTATTTGATAATTACTATGAAAAGAAAGTATATGTCAATGACAGAAGACTTTTTTAGTTTTTTTAGTGTGTGTGTTTTTAATTGAATTCCGCAATCAATCAGAGAAAAAAGGAAAAGCAAATTGATTATAATCCATAATCCAAAAAGAAAAAAAAATGATTAAATCAGTGAAAAAAACTAGTACAATGTCAAATCTCTTAAAGAATTTGGGACAAAAAATCAGAAAAAGAAAATAGATTCATAAAGATTATCATCATAAATGTCTGACTTTGATTTTCAAAAATAAAATAATCAGAAAAGTTTAAGAATCACAAATCAAGAATAATAATAATAATCATCATCATCATTTCTAAAAATAAAATCATATTACGAAAAAAAGAATGTCAAAAGACGAAAGAAAATCTGGGCGAGGCGCTCATCAACAAACAATAATCAAATGTTCAAAACATTGAATCGAATGATGATGGCGGAAAAAAAATGTTTTTTCATTTCATTTCCAAGGAGAATTTTTTGTTTTTCGCAGCCAAGTTATATGAAGCAAAAGAAAATGGTTTTTTTTCTTTCATTTCAATAAAAATTAATTGTAAAAATTTTTAAGTTATCAAAAAAAAAGATTAGTTGGAAATTTTTCAGAAAAAAAACCATAAATGATGATACAAATTGATGATGATCAAATTAAATCATCAATAATTTTCAATGGTCAAAAGGGTCATCAAGGGTAGCGAATTTGATTTGGCTAGTAGTTAGGTAGTTAAGTTAGTTAAGTTGGTTAGCGGAAAGGAAAAAAAAACTTAAAAATGAAAAACTGGCACCAGACTCAATGAGAAAAAGTTTTTTATGTTTTTACACAGAAAAAAAGAGAAACATGAAGCCTGGCAATTAATCGTTATTAATCAACAACAACAACGAAAACAACATAACTAAACTAATAAACTTAAACTAAACTCCCGTGTTCATGCATATGACATGATNAAGATCAGGATGAATCATTTTTACTGTATTTCTATTTTGCTTTCTCACTATCCCTCTCTCACTCTCATTCACTCTCACTCGCTGTTAAGATTTGACAAATGTTTTTTGTTTTTGTTTTTTGATGATGATATACTTAAGGGGATATCATTATCATCATTTGGTGAATGATGTATATTTTTTTTCTATTTGAATGCAATCATATTGTACGGGTAGTCTGTACAAAAAAAAAAAATTCCGAATGATTCATTCTCATCATCATCATTTGAACTAAGACGCCCGACTAGAATCATATTCGACAATTGGCATCCGTAAAAAAAAACATTATTTGATAATTACTATGAAAGAAAGTATATGTCAATGACAGAAGACTTTTTTAGTTTTTTTAGTTTAATTGAATTCCGCAATCAATCAGAGAAAAGAGAGACAAAAATTGATCAATCCATAATCCAAAAGAAAAAAAAATGATTAAATCAGTAAAAAACAAAAAACTAGTACAATGTCAAATCTCTTAAAGAATTTGGGACAAAAATCAGTAGAAAAAAGATTCACAAAGATTATCATCACAATCATAAAAGTCTGACTTTGATTTTCAAAAATAAAATAATCAAAAAAGTTTAAGAATCACAAATCAAGAATAATAATAATAATAATCATCATCATTTCTAAAAATAAAATCATATAACGAAGAATGTCAAAAGACGAAAGAAAATCTGGGCGAGGCGCGCATCTCAAATGTTCAAAACATTGAATCGAATGATGATGGCGGAAAAAATTTTTCATTTCCAAGGAGAATTTTTGTTTTTCGCAGCCAAGTTATATGAAAGTAATAGGGAGAGAAAGAAAATGGTTTTTTTTTCATTTCAATAAAAATTAATTGTAAAAATTTTTATGTTATCAAAAAAAAGATTAAAAATTTTTCAGAAAAAAAACCATAAATGTTATACAAATTGATGATGATCAAATTAAATCATCAATAATTTTTAATGGTCAAAGGGGTCATCAAGGGAATTTGATTTGGCTAGTAGTTAGGTAGTTAAGTTGGTTAGCGGAAAGAATGAAAAAAAAACCTTAAAAATGAAAAACTGGCACCAGACTCAATGAGAAAAAAATTTTTTTATATGTTTTTAAAAAAAATTTACACAGAAAAAAGAGAAACATGAAGCCTGGCAATTAATCGTTATTAATCAACAACAACAACGAAAACAACATATCTAAACTAATAAACTTTAACTAAACTCCCGTGTTCATGCATATGACATGATCAATGGTAATGCAAAGACAAAAAATATCGATCATAATGTCATATCAGGAGGAAAAAAATGTGATCGTTTTTTTCAAAATATCCGTGCAATGGCATTTAAGATTTGATAAGAAAAAATTGAATTGAATTTCTCCACCACCGAACAAACCAAGCATAATCACAATGAATATCAATCATAATGATATTTATTGATGATGATGATTTTTCTGCTTAATTATCGATAACGACGACAAATCATTGAATGAAATGAATGAATTCGATAAATTGACTTGGCTAAATTGGCACACACAGAGATAGTTAGAGATTAATCATGTCATTACGGGAAAAAAATCTTATTTTCTTTTTTGGAGAAAAAAAAATCCAGTTAATAATTGAATTATTCGAGATAATCATTCAATGATGATGACGTTTATCATTACTTACCATTTACTTACCACTTGTCATCGATGTGAATTATGATTTATACAATTTTTTTTCTCTCAATCTTTATCTCTCCCTTTTTTTCATTACTTACACCCACATTTTTTTCGGGGAAAAAATTTTTTTTCATTGCTGATTTAATTTGATGTTCATTTTTTTCAAGTTTGAAGTTCGAGTTTTTTTTCCAATGAGAAATGCGATTATCAATTCAATTCGAAAAAGAAAAAAAATTGTTGTTTGATAAAGATTATCATATGAACTCGATGAGAAAATCAATCGATAATTAAGAAAATATGTGATTATCACATGTTTATACATACATGATGAAAATGACGATTACCTTGACCATCAAATTTTTCATATAAAAATCGTTTGAAAAAGTTAATAGATCTCATTTTCACCGAAATCTTTTTTTGCATTAAACTTGTGAGAAAAAACCAATTGAAACAAAATGCCATCAAAACCGAATCAAGCTTTTGTTTTGCATCGGGCAAATCAAGCGAAATTGGAACCATACGAAATGCCCGGTGATCCTGGACCCAATGGTTAGTCTTTCCAAATTATTCTTTCAATTCTTTGATGAATATATTTTCTTTTGTTCTTTTTGTTTCGTCGTTATTGTAGAAGTTTTATGTCGTACATTAGCAGTCGGTATTTGTGGTTCTGATATTCATTATTTTAACGAAGGAAAATGTGGAAATTTTATCGTGAAAGAACCAATGGTACTTGGCCATGAAACTGTAGCCGAAATTGTTCGATGTGGTGAAAATGTTTCACATTTAAAACCTGGTGATAGAGTTGCTATTGAACCAACAATTCCATGTGGTGAATGTAATTTCTGTTTAAATGATGATCAATATAATCTTTGTCCAAATATTACTTGTCATTCGACACCACCAGTTCATGGTACATTACAACATTATTTTATACATTCAGCTAAATATTGTTTCAAGTATGATGGAAAATACTGATAATTTCAATGAATGATGATGTTTGATTCTTTTTGAAATAGAGTTCCATCCAAATTATCGAATGATGAATGTGCAATGATGGAACCATTAGCTGTTGCTGTACATGCATGTCGACGTGTTAATATAACGAAAAAATCAAATATTCTAATTACAGGTGCTGGACCAATTGGTTTGTTAGTATTACAGGTAGTAAAAGCTTTTGGTGCACAACGTGTAGTGATTACCGATATCAATGAAAAACGTTTAGAATTGGCTAAAGAATTAGGTGCCGATGAAACAGTACTGATTAAACGTACAAATACTGAACAGGAAAATATACAAATCATAAGCAATTGTTTCAATAAAATTGGTTCGGATATTGCATTCGAATGTTCGGGTGTTGGTGTAAATTTTCGTTTAATTATATTTGCATCAAAACCAGGTGGTACATGTATGTTTGTTGGTATGGGTCCTGAAGAATTACAATTACCTATTGCATCGGCTGCATTTCGTGAACTAAAAATCTTTGGTTCATTACGTTATAAAGGAAGGTAAGTTTTGATTAAACATGATTTTTTTCTTACCTTTCTAATACTCATTCTATTTCCAGTTTTCCAATCGCAATAGATTTAGTTGCAAATGGACAGGTAAATCTTAAAAAAATGGTAACACATCATTTTGATTTTGATGAAACAATGAAAGCATTTGAAACAGCCATATCCGGTAATGGAATGAAAATTATTATCAATGTTGATCGTCATTAAACTTGAAGAAAATCTCAACAAAATAACCATTTCATATCTGCCATCTAATGAACAGAGAAATAATCAACAAAATCCAAACATTCGATTTTTAAAACATTCGATTTTTTTTACAAATAAATTAGCGCCATCTAATGGCTATGAATTGTACTAACTTGAAACTCAAAAAATAATAAAAAAAAGAATTCTTGTTTTTATTCGATGTGCATATAAAGAATTTGCTTTGTTTTGTTTTTGTTTTTGTTTCTTTTCAATATTCATTATACCTCTAGTTTTGTTTAAAATTAATAGAGGTTTTCTCGGTTGTTGTTGTTGTTGTCGATTCATCCAAACAAAAATAAAATCATCAACAACATCATTGTGGGTGATAATGAATTCGGCCTTAACGGATTCAATAAAAAAGGTTTGTTATCAAACAGAAAAAAACATCTGTAAAGAAGATTTGCTGACTTAAATATTGTCAACCAGAGAAAAAAAAATAATTGATTTGTTTGATTGACAATTGATTAAGATTAACCTTGAACGAGAGATATCGATCAATGTACGTATATAATTTCAAAATTATAATTAAAGATTAAAGATCTAAAATAAACAAGTTTTTTGATTTCCAATTGCCAAACAAACATAAAAATAAGAAATCAATCTTATGTTATCCATAAAAAATATCAAATTACTTGTCGGTTTTTGATTGATTGAATTTTTATTTTTAAAATATTTTATGTTTTTCGTTTTGTTTACATAATCATCCATATAAATTGCAATATTTTTTATTCCCCTCTACATTCGTTTCGCATTTTTTCATGTTATTTGAACAAAAAAACAAATTTCATTTAATTAACTTTTAATTTATTTATAGAATTGTTAAAAAAAATATTTTCTAATTGTTAATTATTTCCATTATTTATTCTTTAGTATTTTGCAACATTACTATTAAAAATTCCTTCAGTTCGAGTATCATTAAAAATGGATAGTATCAAAAGTAATGAAGCATTTCTTTTGAATGGAAAAAATGATGCAAAAGTTGTACCATATCCAGTGCCACCAAATCCAGCTCCGAATGGTAAATTTACAATTTGATTCGATTAATCGGTTGATTTATTGATTTTCGAATGTTTTTTTTTAAATAGAGGTTTTATGTAAAGCATTGGCCGTTGGTATTTGTGGTTCAGATATTCATTATCTTAAAGAAGGACGTTGTGGAAATTTTATTGTAAAAGAACCAATGGTACTTGGTCATGAAACGGCAGCCGAAATTGTTGCTGTTGGTTCGAATGTTAAAAATTTTCGACCTGGTGATCGTATTGCTGTTGAACCAACTGTACCATGTGAAAAATGTGAATGGTGTTTGAAAGATAAATATAATCTTTGTCCCGATGTTAAATGTCATGCAACACCACCAATTCATGGTACATTACAACGTTATTTTATTCATCCGGCAAAATATTGTTTCAAGTAAAGAAAATATTTCTTCTTCATTCATTAATCATTTTTTTTCATTATTGATTGATTGTTTTCCTTTCTGTTTCTTCCCACAAAACAGAGTTCCGGATAGTTTAACAGCCGAACAAGCTGCAATTGTTGAACCATTAGCTGTTGCTGTACATGGATGTCGCCGTGTACCGATTAAAAAAGATTCAACAGTTTTAGTAACCGGTGCCGGTCCTATTGGTCTTTTAGTAATGGCTACAGCAAAAGCTTTCGGTGCTAAACGTGTTGTTGTTACCGAAATCAATGAATATCGTTTAGGTTTAGCTAAACAAATGGGTGCCGATGAAATATTATTATTTGATCGTTCAACAACTGAACAACAAATGATTGATAAAATAAAAGAATCATTTGATGGAAATTTTCCCGACATAACAATGGAATGTTCAGGTTTTGGTGGTAATTTTCGTATAGTTATGTTAACAACTAAACCTGGTGGTCATTGTATGATGATTGGTATTGGTCCGGCTGATTATAATCTACCAATTGCAATGGCAGCAGCACGTGAAATTACTATATTAGGAGCATTTCGTTATCGAAATTGGTAAGTAACAAACAAAAAAAAATTATACGAAAACAATTGGCAAACTTAATTTTATTACATAATAATGATAATGTTTTTGCACTTTTCTTTCTTTTTTTTGGCTTCCATTTAAACAAAAACAACAACAACAAATAATAAATTTAGCTTTCCTGAAGCAATTGATTTATTGGCAACAGGACGAGTTAATGTTGATCGTTTAATATCACATCGTTTTGATTTTAAAGATAGTTTAGAAGCTTACGAAACAGCAGCCTCTGGTAAAGGAATTAAAATTATTATTAAAGTTTGAATATTAAAGAACAAACAAAACAAAACAAAGATAAAAATCGTCAAAAACAATTTGCAAAACATTTTTTTTTCTTCATTTTGCTTGAACGTGAAATCAAATTAAAATCTGTTTTTTATTTTCTTGGGAAATTTGTTTACAAAAAAAAAATGGCGGTACTCTTTTTTTTTCTGCTGAAATTTTCAAGGATGTTTTTTTCGTTGCTATTTTTGAAAAAACATTGATCAAACGATTGAAAATGATGCAAAACATTGATTTCGGAATTGATATTCCGTTCATCACAGTTGACAAAATGGGCCAAAAAAACAAAAATAATTTTCGCAATTTTTCTTGCACGCACACTATATGTGTCTAATGTGATTCATATTTATGAATCTCCTACGACATTTGGAGATTAAAATATGAAATTACGTAATTTTGTTGTTGTTGTTGTGGTCACCATAAATAAATTGATTCAGAAAAAAAAACAAATCTGATGATGATGATTTGATTACTGCAATGATTTGATGGAAAAAAATTTTGTTAGCTAATAATAAATAAATGTTACACAAAAAAAACATCATCATCATTATGGTCGCGAAATGTAGTTCAATTTTCTTAACTCACATAAATTACAAATTACAAATTATAAATGACAATTTTCAAATATTTTTTTTTTTTGATCATTGGATTAATCCATTGATTCAAATGATCCATGATCTTAGCTTTGAAAAAATTGAAAATTCAATGCAATTCAACAACATTTGACAAAACATTTGAATGATTAACACTTGATTAAAGGTTCAAGATTGAAAAAAAATAATAATAATAATATCGTATCAATCAAATCTTGTTACAAATTTTATTGATTGAAAATTGGTATCATCATCATTATTATCAATTATTATTCAGGAAAGCGAAACAAATCAATAATTTTTTGTTTTCTATATTCCAAAAAGTACTTATAATTAACGGTTTCCAAACAAAATCCTCTTGAATCATTGATTGATTTGAATCTATATATCTTCTTGTTCAAATGAATGTCAAGTTTTTTTTTCTTGGAAATGAATTATAGTCATTTTGTTGTTGAAAAACAACAACAACAACAAAAATCCAAAATCGAAAAATGAAAAAAGTCAATGACGAACCTACAACAACAACAAAATGTGGATAAATATTGTGGATGGATCAATAATCATCAATCAAAAAAAAGAAAAAACATTCAAAAAACATTCATTAAAAATGCAATGCAAAGCTATGCAAAATAAATGATGCATCATGTGGAAAAAAATAAGATTTGACATTGTGTATGCATGGTGGTGGTTGTTTTTTTGTTTTCGATAAGAGTTAACCACGATAACTGAATTAGTTTCGATGTTTTCTGTTTTCAGAGTGAGAGAGTGAGAGAAAGGAAGGTTTTTGCAATGAAATTCGGAACTAAGAGAACACACTGATATGAATTTTTT